CGGCGGAACCGCGTGCGGGCCAGCCAGCCCCGGGCATACTTCTGCAGTATGGTGGCCTTGTGTTCCACCAGCATCTGCAAAACATGGGCACAACGGGGCAATTAACAAGAGACAAGGCACAGAATTGTGGAATCACAGAATGGTTTGGGTTGGAAGGACCAAAGTTCATCCACCATCAATGGACACCTTCCATTAGACCAGGCCACTCCAAGCCCTGTCCAGCCTGGCCTTGGGCATTTCCAGGGATACAGGGGCAGCTACAGCTTCTCTGGAAAACCTGTGTCAGAAAACCTCATCACCCTCACAGCCAGAAATTCCTTCCCAGTATCTTCTCTAAATCTACCTTCCTTCAGCTTAAGGCTGTACCTGGAAGGTCATCTGTACAGCAACTCTGGCTTGGCTGAAACAAACATTAAACACTTCCCAAACTGCCTTGGAAAGGGCTTCTCCTCCAAGGAATGTCCTGGTAGGTGCAGGGGCTGATGGCTGGAAACGGAGGCTGCTGTTTTGCACCCTCTTTCATGGACAGCACTTCCAACCCTGCTGGTGGAGGCTTCTCAATTACGCAGGCAGGGCACACCCAGACCTCTCCTAGGAGCCTCCTTGGTCTCAAAGCAAAGACCTGCCTGGCCAGCAACATGAGGGGATATGATCCTGGCTGTGAGGACTTCATGGGCGCAGGTAACACCTGGGCTCAAATGTGACCTCGTGGACCACTTCAGAACAGATCTCAGAACACCTGAGATCCAGCAGAGCCAGACCTCCAGAATAAACAGTCTTGAACATAAACACCAACACTTAGCAATGAACTTACCATCCCCTCAGCATCAAACATCACCCATACCAGAACAGATCTGTAGATTTTTTTTCATTGTGTTCCACCTCTGCATTATGATAATTTTTACTGCGGATAAATGATGCCCTGATGGGATTTCATATCATGTGGATAACCTTCAAATAAAACCATGAGTCCTTTCACTACACTTTGCAGCCAGTTCTCTGGCATGATTCAATTCCTAGTAATTTTTATCAGTTTTCACAAAATTTCTGGCATGTTTGTATTCAATTTCTTCCCCAAAATTTACAGCTATCTTGTCAGTCAGTGGCAGTTCAATTCTCCAAAACTGAAGGCTGACATTTTAGAGAAACAAACAGCATGTTGTTTATAGCTTCCTTATGCTTCAGTCTGCTAAGGAAATAAATAGGAGAATTCAAAGATTACAAGACATTTTATTGTTATTAGTTTGGGTTAAGTTGTCTCAGAAAAGGTTATCCTATCAGCTTCTCTTACAAATATTTTGTTTCACCCTAAGGCTTTCTTTGCAATTGCAAATTTTAATTCCAAATAAAGGGATTATATGAATTTAGGATGCAGCAAGAATGACTGTGAAATGAGCTTTGTAGTCATCAGCCTCAGCATTCATAAATGGGGAAAGCTAGGGATGCCCAAAGAGGTAAAAGAAGCCCCACTGCATTGCCTTGGGGAGTTATTTCAGCTTTACAGCAAAATTTTGGTGGGCACTGGGCATGCCCTCATCCCACAGATCATCAGCAACAGCCCCGCATCTGTTGCTGAACATGCACTGAAACCAATACCTGTATCTAAAACCCATACCCAGGTGCTCCAGAGATTAAGGATGCTCAGATTAGAGAGGCCAAGCCTTCAGCCAACTTCTACACCTTGTTAAGATTTGGGTGGCCTTGAATCTCAGAGAGTTTAACTGCTGAACCAGCTACCTCCCCCGCAGAAGCTTCCAATTTAAAAAACAGATGCTGAAAAAGCAGTGGCAGCACAAATTCCTTATCACCAGCTGCTGTGTCTCAGAGGATAACCTTGGTCTCTCTGGGAGGTCACCAGGGGTCCAGGTGACCTCAATTATTTCCAGGAACAGGCCTTTCCCTCATGATGCTTCTCACTTGCTTACTCCAAGGAGTAGCCCCACAACCCAGAGTTAGGCACCCATTTTGGTAACAGTGCTGGGTTTGAGGAGTGGACAGAAGATTTTCCAAAGCTGTTCTCAGTTTTCCTGACAGAAAGTAGCTGGAGAAGGACTTTGGATAAGTCCTGGAGGATGGAGGGCCAGCACCCAGGCAATGGCTTGCCAGTGCCAGAGGGCAGGCCCAGCTGGGATATTGGCAAGGAATTGCTGGCTGGGAGGGTGGGCAGGCCCTGGCACAGGGTGCCCAGAGCAGCTGGGGCTGCCCCTGCATCCCTGCAGTGTCCAAGGCCAGGCTGGACAGGGCTTGGAGCAGCCTGGGACAGTGGGAGGTGTCCCTGCCATGGCAGTGGGTTGGAATGAGGTGATTTTTAACCCTTACACCCAAACCACGCCAGGATTCAGTAATTTCTCACTGTATCACTGCTGTCATGAAACTCTGAATCTTTTGTGTCCTGCTCCTGGTTTAACACAGAAAGCTAAAGGAGGGACATTTCTATGGATTAATGACTTATTGCCTTCCATGACAGACCCTCCTTATCCTCCCATCCCACTGGGAACACCCCAGAGCATGCAGCTCTGACATACACTCAGTGGGATGGAGAGGTTTTAGCAGAGCATAGGTTAGATCAAATGACATTTCCACATCTCCATGATGCCTCCAGGCACCACAGCAACTACCTTCATTTAGCTGCTCTGCTGAGGTGCTGCTGCCAAAGTGTTTTTTTGCTTGCACAGCTTTACATAGCAAAGCTCACCATCACCGCCCACCTGTTCTCCGTTCTCCGGCAACACCGGGGGCTGTCAGCTTCACAAACATCAACACAGCCACAACAAACACACCACAGAAGTAAACATAAAGGTTCATTCTTCATGCAAAGAGCCTCCTGGAGATGTACCTGGTGGTAAATCCTCCTGACAAACATGCCCCGAGCAAAAGCCTGGATGGTGAGGGTGGCGTTGCGGACCCTCAGGAAAGCCTGGCGCATCCGCAGCATTCGGTACTGCTTCTGCAAGATGATGGCAGCCCTCGTCCTCCTCAGGTGCTCAAAAAGCCTGCAATGCACAGGAGGAGGGTAAGCAGGGAAAACCAGCTCCACTTCTTTCTGATGCAGTAAATTTTAAACCAGGGGGAGAGGAAAACCTTTTGTCCAATGTGGGTTGATGGTATTCTGGAAAGACCAACAGCTGGGCTAAGAAAGCCTCCATGCTATCAGACAGCAGCCATGGAACCCAGGAGCACTGGAACCACAGATCAACACACCTCATAGCTCCCAAACAGCATTTAACCCAAGCACTCCCCAGGTTTTCCTTGGTTTGAACTCTGCCTTGTGTCCTTGCACCAGTCAGCGCCCAGGTTGGCTCCATCACTACCCTGACTATAAAAAGCACACGTCACACAGGGTATCTACTGACTCAGTGAAAACAGCAGCAAATTGATTTGACATTTAAACTGGTGTGCACTGCTTTGGCAACATTCCTGAGCAGAGCCTCGAGCAATTCACAGACAGTAAATAATGAGGGAAATGGTCAACTCTGCACCACGTTGCTCCCATTCTCCAGCTGAACTCATGTTCAATTTGCTGTTACATGGGTTAATAAATGCCCATAAACCCTCTATTTAATTTGATAATTAGTTTGTTTTGCTGGATTTATGATTCATTTATTGCTCTCAGCATGCATCATTATACAGAAATTTGATCCACTTATTTTATTTTGTGAAAAGCGTATCAGAACTAAGAGCCACATCAGATTGGTTTATATATTCCTTTGATTGAGGCAAATGGCTTCCCATTAGGACCCACTAAGCCAGGGCTTCCTGAAGAGGATAAGGGATGGTCTGGCTCCAAAAAGAGACAGTAGTTACTCTGATGCCATCCAACCCTACAAGCCCTGCACAAAAAGGGGAACTGAAAAATTATGCAGAAGAAACTCTTAAGCAGCTGGTTCTCTCTGACACCAACCCCTTCCACAACCACAAATAACACCACAAATTCAGCTCCTATCTCTGATGCTCTTCTGCTGATTGTCTTGACTTGAAGAAGGACCACAAGAAGGAAGGTGGCCAGTGTGTTGGGATGTTGTTCCATTACTTCACTGCTCCCACACACCCACCCCACAGCTGCCCACTCTCCAGCAGCGTTACCTACAGAAACCCCAGCAAGACACTGACACGAGTGGTCTTGAGGTTCCTGCACAGAAAGAGTTAACACTGTGCTCTGTATTTCTCTACTGTACACAGCCCCCCTTGCCAGTGATTTGGAGTGATTCTCCTCATTACAAAGGATAGAGACAATCAAGCCTGAGAACTCCCCCTGGGCATCATGGAGACACATTCCTGGTCCCTGCAGGGCAGGAGTGCATACCAACTAGGCAGCTCTTCCCTGGCTCATCCAAATGCCCTTTACCAAAGGCAGTCCCAGGAAAACATTAGTTTTGTGAAACACCCTTCAGAGTACTATAGTCATCTCATTATAACCAGACCGTCCATGTTATGACCTTGGCCCTGCACCTAGAAATTAAACTAATGTAAATATGAAACCACTTTGAGGCAGAGAATTTCGATCTCTTGTCCCTCAATAAAACCAGAGAAAGGGGACAGAAATGAGTCCACTTTAGCCCAAAAATTCTCACCACAGCATTACCCAGGCACACATTACACATCTTGCTTTCAAGCAACCAGAGCATCTTCCAAGTTCCTCACGTGAAACCCCCCAAGTGTAAGCTCCAGAAGATGCAACAGATTGAAAACAGAGGTAGCCAGAGGTGTTTTCACACTTGACTTCCCAGCTGGCCCCGCTGTGAGGCTCCCCAGGACCCACCTGCGTGCCAGGTGCCTGCGGGCATAGCACTGCAGGGTGAGGGTGGCTCGTCTCAGCCGCTGGTACTTGGCCCTCTGCAGCCAGCCCCGCACAGTCTTCTGGATCATGATGGTGGCAGCTCTGAACTTATCTGCCCGCAGTTTCTCCAGATATGCCACCTGGCCTGCACGGAAAAAGATCTTGGTACGGCCAAACTGGAACTTGTCTGGATCCTTTTCAAAAGCATAAAGGAAACTACATTTAATTGAGGCAAACATTACTTTTTTTTTTTTTTTTTTTTTTTTTTTTTTTTACAGAGTAAAAACACCACCTTAAATCAAATTTATTAACTTACATCTCTTCTTAATTGGGTAATGAAGATATTATTAGACTCCATTATTAGACATATTAGATTATTACACTTATTAGACATTATCAGATATCTTTAGACTTACTACACTTGAGCATATAAACACCCATTAACGCAGCACTAGGACTCAGTCTTAAACTCCAAATATTTACACAGATTTTTAAGAGGTTTGGAGTTGGGTTCTTTGTGTTTTGTGGGGTTTTTTGCTTGGTTGGCTTGGGGTTTTTTTTTTATTGGGTTTTGGTTTTTTTTAGCGCTGGTGTTTATGTGGAGTTTTTTAGGTTTTGGGGTTTTGTTTCTTTGTTTGTTTGGAGGGTTTGGAGTTTAATTTTGGTTTGGGTTGGGGTTTTTTTGGGTGTTTTTTTTTGTTAGTTGGTTTTTATGTAAATAAAGAAACCTCAGAATCTCAAAATTGTTTAGGTTGGAAGGGACCTTAAACATCACACACATCCAACCCCCCTGCCTTGGGCAGGGACACCTTCCACTAGACCAAAAATTAGAAATGCAACACCAGAGCACTTCAAGGAAAAGACTTCTTTCTCAAAAAGATTAATGTTTTGATCTACAAAGTCATACATGTGCTGCAAAAAGCTCTGCAGCCAAAGGTAACACAGGGTGCAAAATGCAAAAAGAGGAGCCCGATTGGGTAAATTCCTCAAAATCCCGCAGGAAAACAAGAGATCAAACATTAAAACCTGTCTAAGGTGCTGTGCACATTCTGAGCCACTCAACAGCAAGAAACCTTTGCATGAACATTTGCAATTCAAAAACAATGCATAAAAACAAGCAGCGAAGTTTTGGTAAGGAGAGGTGGCAAAACCTTCTGATTCGTTTATGGTAAAAAAGCCCAGATTTGTGGAATGCTTTTTCCATACAGGGCCATTGAAAGTCTCCCACACATCAAGATAAGGCATTCACTGCACTTTTCCCTTACTCATTTGTGCAGAAAGGCATTTAATGATTGACTAAGGTTCATTATATTGTCCCAGGCTGGACCTCTGAAATGTACTCCAGCTGTGGCTAGACAAAACCAGAAGGAGAGGCAACGGGGACACATTTTTTAAAAGTGGCCAGTCATTCATGTACAGCCAGTGATAGCAAACTCTGGACTTCACCAGCACTGAAATGATTCATTCCTCTTGACCACAGCCAAGAAATCCCATGTCCCACTTGTTCCTGCCATCTCCTCACAATACTCCCTCATTTTGGGAAAGCTCCCAGCCTGCCTGGGGTGGAGGAGCACCTGCACGAGCAGCAGGTGAAGCTGGAGCAATTTCAGACCACATCAAAGTCATGAGTTCTGTGCTTTTAAAATCACTGACAAAGACCTGGTCCCAGCTCACCTTAATGAGGTCTTCCAACAGGGTCTGACAGATCTGCCTCTTGTCGTTCTTACAGAGGTCTCTCTTGTTCATAAGCACACGGTACCTATTGAAAAAGTCAGGGTAGGACCACCTGAAAGCAAAGCACACCCTGGGTTAGTCTGCATGCTGGGCACTGCTTCACTGAAATAAAGTGCTTGGAGTTGTAATGTGAAATATTTCAAGGGATTTCTCACCACTACCCTTATGGACCCAAGCCACCCAAAAGGAGCTATTCACCCTCAGCCTGGCCCCAATCCCAGACACTGAATGACCATATCAGGGCCTTTCTAACCTCCAACAGAAAGGCCACAGAACACTCTGTTTTCACCCCTGATGTGCTTCCCAATCTGCTGTTCTTTAGCAGTCAAATGCAACAAGAAGTTGCATTCTCCCCGGCAGAAAGGAGAACCTAACTTTGGAGAAATCATGGATCTCTTGATTGCCCAAAAAAAAAATTTAAACAGCAATCTTGATAAAGTTATAGAGAATGAATCAAAGAGATATTCTTTGGTCTTTGTATTCCCAAACTCTGCTGAATACTACTTTGAATCAATTGACCCACTAATTGCTCCATCTTGAGGTCTGACAGCCTTCAAACAAACACAAAATCGTCTGGCTCTGGGAAGACAAAGCAGCCCCTTGGAAGATGCCTCACTGTCTCCAGCAGCAAAGCTTCCAAATAGGCAACACTTATTGAAGGAATTAGAGCACTGCACCCTACAGCTAGGAAATACCATCTCCTGTGGCTGGTGATAGATGTAGAGCCTGCAGACTGCGATCCTGAAATTGCTTCAGCATCTGCCAAGTTTCAGCCTTCTCTAAATTAACACAGTGAGTTATAAACCCCTCAAAACCTGAGTTTTTAATTAACATCAGCCTTCTCCAGCAATGTCCTGAATGACCATTGATATTTCAACAAAATACGCCTAACAAACATCAAAGGGAGAATGGAGAGAATCACAGAGAATTTGATTTGTGCCCTCACTCAACAAAACCACCTTCCCAATCCTTACCTGCAGGGATGCTCTGGCAACCAGGATGAGAACAAACTGTGAAGAGCCTCCATACAGAAACATCCTCTTCACCCAGAAGCCCCATGCATACCTTAATTTTTGCATTACTGCCCCAAATTCTTCCTAATTTTACGCTTTTGGGGATTAAGAGTGTGGAAGAGAAAATAAACTGCAAAGGGCCAGAGCAATTGTGACAGGTCATGGCCAGTCTGGAGTGGTGAGGCAGAGCGAGACCACCTGAGCACTCACAGCTGCCAGCTCTACAAAATACCTCATGAAACAGAATATTTCAGTTGGAAGGGACCTGCACAATCATCTACTCCAGCTGCTGGTATCTCTCATGAAACACCTTGAAGGCTGGAAGCTGTGCTATTTGCTAAGGCAGGCATATTGCTGATTTCAAAACACACAACCCACAGAGCTTTGTGTGTCACTTCAGAAAAGGCAACAGGAGGAGGAAAGCCAATACTTTTTCTCATTAAAAGCAATACTCTAATTAAAAGAGTACAGTGGAAGGAAATGCTTGCAAAGGGAAAGAAGAGACAAAAAAAGGTGGACTGGTAAGGACTAGGAAGCTGCAGGAAGCCACAAATAACTGCCTCATGGACAAACAGGCCCAAGGACACAACTAGTAAAGAATACAGGACTGGCAAAAACCAGAGTACCCTTAGGATTGCACCAGAAGCCAAAGTAAAACGGGGAGCTCCTGGAGGCAGAAGCATGAGGGAAACTGTGATGAAAGGATTTCCCATGCTCAGAATGCTCAGACTGGCCCTGGAGCAGTCAGATTTAGTGCTGATTTAATCTCTGTCTCCATGGGCTAGTCCTGAGGCCAGGCAGCTAAGGCTACCCACCCTCAAATACCCAAAAGCAGTGGATTACTACTAAAAAAACTAAGCTGTCAGCTATGGGGAGCTCCCTCTGGAGCAAAAACTGAACACAAAGGTTATGCAAGACTACAAGCTTGTGTCCTGTAAGGTTTAACTTAAACTTGCCTTATCTTTGCTTTTCCAGTGCCTCCGTTTTATAATTACATTTCCCATTCTGCGTTCTGCAAGTAAAACCCGTTTCATTTTAAGCACACCCGGGGTTTACACAGCTCCAAATCAAACCTGAGAGGAGAAGCAGAGCATGCAGTGCCCGAGGCACACAGCCAAACACACGAGGCTGGCTCGGGTATTGCTGGAGCCAGGGAGAGCTGGGGAGGGGGGAAGAGAGAAGGAGGCAGTATTCCCATTAACCTGCCAGAGCCAGCTCAGGCACTGACACTATTAACTGCTGATATCTGGAGGAAAAAAAATCACCCTGCAGGTGCCACCCAGGCTTTTCCAGCAAAGAGCAGATGGTGGAAAGGCAGAACTTGAAACTCAGGGCACAGGTCCAAGCTAGGCAAGAAAGCAAAATCCATCATCTTCCAGCACCAGGGCAGAGATGGAGATCCCACAGCTGCTCACAAACAAGAGTCAGACACCTGGAGGAATTCCTTAAAAACAGATCACAGGTCACTACGCTGTGGGTCTTCCTCCAGAGCCTGTCATTCTCATTTCATAAGGTGGCAAAAATCGATTTTCCACATCCATCCTTAATAAAAGTAACTCACCTTTCAGGAGTAAGTCTCACATGAGACATTGGAAGAGTCAGGGAATCCACCCCCTGGATTCTGCCGAGGTGTTTATCGGGCCTGGTGCCATCCACAGCCCCTATCCACATCTCCCAGAGGTTCACAGCCCCACGCTGCACCCCCAGGGCACAGAACTGCCTCACTCGTGCTCTCACCACTCTGATTTAGCAGGGGATGACAGCCCTGACACCACACTGCTCCTGTATTATTGTGCACAGAGCATCAAGACAAAATCTGTGCCGTGCCAGGGCTCAGCCAGCCCATCAGGAGTTTATCTGGGATATCTGCCATCCCACTTCACCAGAAAAAGAAAGCTGGATGGATTCATAGGTGCTGCTGTAGAATCCTCCCCAGAGAAAACAACAATTAAAGCACTCAGGTTTAATGTAACATGCCCAAAGCTGTATAAAATTTCCTTACAACTATGTGCTCAGAGAGAAACAAACATGATCCCCCCAGCCCTGCAAGGGAGATTTCTCCATTGCAGAAATAATCTCGATGCTTTGCTGTACACGCACTTTTAAAATTTTTTTTCTGCAGACACATCTCACTGTTTTGGTTACTATATCTTCATTTTCAGAGGGGAAACAAAAAAAAAACCACAAAAGCAAAGAGAGAAAACTTATTTCATACTTTCCAAACCACACAATGACTCCCAGCAGGAGACAAAGGATGTGCTATGTTACCCCACAGCTTAGGAGGGCAGGAAAGACAATGGGAAGGGTACACCTCAGTTCACCTTGCAGACAGGTATCAAACAAAAAACAGATTTCAGGTGCTTGGTATGCTGCCACACAGCACATAGCAAGCCTCAGTGCAGGGCTGGAAACCACCAAGGGACACTAAATAAACACAACTCCATATTATGAGCAAGTTTTAAGATCCAGATTAAGTGGTGCAGACAAAAGAGATGGAAAAGAGACGGGCAGAAACAGGAAGAAGGAGGCACAAAAGACTGGGCAGATGCTACTCAAACTGAGATCAAGCAACCTCAAACAGCTGAATTTTCCTTTGATGACAGCACAGGTCACTAAGGGGAAAAGGCAATAAAGGAATGTAGGGATGCAGGAAAATAACTTATGCCTGTGGAAAAAGCCCTCCTTGGGCTCAGGCAGCAAAAGGAGGATGCTTGGCTGGGAGCTGGCACTTGGTCATCCCAGCAAAGTCTTTGTCATCTACAGGAAACAGAGGGAATAAGCTGTAGCACACACCACAGATGAAGTATTTTTATTTTTTTTTCTGTAGTTTGAGCAGCCAGATTTGGATGTTTTACACAAAAATGCAGCCAGGTGCAAAGCAAAGGGGCTGCTCCTGCCCAAAATCAAGGGGTTATGAACCTGAGCAGAGCCAGCTGGGTTTATCACAACATCAAAATAAAGAGAGAGCACGGGTAGGAAACTGAGGGTGACATTCTAAGGAAGCCTCTGAAAGGCATCTTTCCAAGCAGTCAGCAACTGCCCAAAATATCCACAACCCATTGTTTCAGGGTTATTACAACAATGTTACACCAGCTGCACTGAGTGAACAGCTCAAAGGAGCATAATAGGTCAAAAAAACTTCAAACTCTTAACCATAATATGGTTTATTTTGTACCCCAAAGTAACTGAACGTGAAATGTTCCCACTCAGGGTAAACAAATTCAGTGTCCCCATCACCAAAGACCATCCCCAGGCACTGAGGAAACTCGGTTTTGTGTAAGAAATCCTGGCAGCACCACAGGGCACCCTGCCCTGAAGGGGTCAACATATTAAACAGGAAGGAACTGGACAATACTGATCTTTCCAGAGGAGTCAAAACACGTCAGGAGGGATGCAGGTTCAATCTTGGAGCGAAGATTTGAGTGAAATTGTTTTAGAAACTGCAGTTCAGAGGGAAAATTTCTCTTTCCTTGTTTACTGCAGCAGAACAGATTTGCCTTTCAATTAGCTCTAAAACATGCAGGCTGGCCTGGCTTGAAATTAGCTGGAACATATTCAAAGGGAAAAACAAGGGGGGAAAACCCCTCCATTTACATATTATACCTTTGTTGGGAGTGGGCAAACAGAACTGTTGGTAGCCAAAGCAATTTATAAGTCTTGTTATCCTGAAATGACAGCCAGACAGCTAAAGGCACATTCTATAAAAAAAATTAGATACCCAAGGATGTCCATTGCAGTTTTCAATTCTAAGTGTTTAATGTTTATAGAGTTTAGCAGCTGGGATTTCACACTGAATTGATAACAAAAATGCTGCATGTGACAGTGAGCTCCAGCAACCAGAGGCAGCAGCCAAATGCCAAGGATACTTAAAACTATAAATACATAACTACAAAGAGGGTATTTCAGAGAGAACTGCAGTGATGAGGTTATTCAGAGTGGTGGCATGGTGGGAGACCACTGCTGCTGGACCACTGACTGGAAACCACCATTACCAGCAGGGGGAAAAAAAAAAAAAAATCAGTTTTGATGGAACCAATTTAAAAACTTGTTTTAAAGTGTATTTTGCTATTCACGGAGATCTGCTCCAATTAGTTCTCTATAGACTCATCTCTATGCAGCCAGTTCCTGTAAAGAAGATGAATGGTTTTACAGCACAGAGACATCTTCCACGCTTTATGCAGGGAAGCTGATGATAGATTTACTACCTACACACCTCAGACAGCCCATTCATCACAGTCATTTATGTACATGCTAACAGATACAGATTTCTTAAGTGCTGAGTAACATTTCAAAGCAAATGACACATTTTCAATTCATTTCAGACACAGCCAGAGCGCAGCCTACCATGGAAATGGTAAAATAAACCCAGGCACACCCTAAGTGGGCAGCCCAAGGCTTCAGATTTCTGTGACTCACATGGCTTGAACAACTACAGCTTGTATCAAAAATGATTTCTTTTCTTAGAGGTAAAAAAAATTATTAAAGACTCAAAACATCTAACTCTTTAGCAGCAGGTGGTTTTACCCAGAGACTCAAAGCCACATCACCCTCAGAAATTACTCTTGTGACAGTGTGCTAGAATATATTTAGAGGCGAGAATAACAGGATGAAAATAAGAGTTTTTCTATTGTTTCTGGATAAAACTTACCTTGAGATAAACAAATTTGGAAATTCCCTGTTGCTTTACAGGGAAATTGCTTATACCCAAGCAAAGCAAAAGTCAAGAAGATCAAGTTTTCTGTTATTATTTTAAAGTTATTACAAATTTAGAGCCTTCACATGAGGTTTAAATTTAAAGCAATGACTCTCCTTTTTAGTTTTATCCTTAATCAAGCAATACTAACTCAACTTGTCTCAAAATATAAGGAAATGCAGAGGAATAATCAATGCTCACTGTGATGAAAACTGAGAGAGGTTTCACATAAAACTGCAGAAAGAACTAAAAAGTCTGTTACTTTTTCTACAAAAGAAGATCCTGTGAAAGCATCTTTTCCTAAGACAGTCTATAAGGTCAATTTAAATACACAGATTATTCACAAGCTTTCAACGACATCATCCAGCTCCTGGGTCTGGATTTTCAGGACTAGAATTTTGTAAGGGAGATGAAGAACTACCAGAGCCCAAAGTGAGCATTCTATTTGGTGCAGATCCGCTCCCTTATACAATTATATCCTAGAAATATTAAAATGCACAACAATCTGTCCTTCAAGCATCACAAACTTTGGAAAAGGTCACTCTGAAAGGCTGAAATAGCTTTTTGCACCCTGTTTTTTTTGTCCCTGGAGGAAGAACAAAAGCTGACAAGTTGCTGTGATGGAAGAGCTCTGTATTCTTATTGTCCTGGGAGAAGATCTCATAACCAAAAGCATGCAAGCAGAGCTGAGAGCATCACTTTTTAATTTGTCATTGTGGAGAGGTCCTTGCACTGGTCAATTCTTTGCTGTCTGGTTTCTCCCCTCTGTTCCCCCTCCCCAGTTACTAATTTTACATTCATTTTAGTGCTGAAGGGTCTAAACTGCAGTTAAGTGAGCAGAAATAGAAAAAACTCCACAAATCTGTAGGTTAATTATGAATGGAGAGGAACAGGGTGTCCATGCAGCCAATGGTAAGGCCAGTAACAAACCTCAAACACACAACGCTCAGGTCAGAGCTCCCCAGACTCTCCCAGGGCCCACCAGGGCCCAGACTGCACTGGGCAGTGTGAAATCCTGCTTGGAGAGCAAAGAGTTGTGTTCTCTGGCCTCTCCCATGTGAAAAAAACCCAGATTTTTTATTGTCTCAGGCCTATTACTACAGAGAACTGATGGGTTTGGCCTGGCAATCAAGATAAAAGACAACCCAAGGGCTGGAATTTTTGATTCCCCACCATGGCTTAGTGATCATGTAATGTAGAAGCAGCTTTTTACTGGCTAATTCCACAGAAGTCCTCAGGACTTCTGAGATGAGAGCCAAAGGTGATGCTGGGTCTTCTAAGAGGGCCAGACTCCCAGCATGAGAACCCCAATCTCCCACACTGGCAGAGGACAGAGAGAAAATGCTTTCCATGAGACTTTTCTTCTTCTCCTTCTTCTGTTTTCCCTTCTTCCTCCTTAAGCAGCTGGGCTCAGCTGGTCAGGGAGAGCCCCACCACCAGCTGTGGGCTGCCCATGGAGGTCAGTGGCCAAGAGGAAGGGCAACTTCAACATGAGGTCAGTGGCCAAGAGAGGTGAAGGGCAGCAGGGCAACCTCAACATGCAGCTGCTGCCCTCAGCTGTCAGAAACCCTCTGCAGCTTTTCAGGGGCTGAGAGTAGCGCACTCCTCCTCAAAATCCTGGACAGGGGGTTCCTCATGGTGTTCCACATCATGCTTAGCCAAACTCCTCACTGTGCATATTTATAACTTCTTTGTTCCATATAAAAAGGCTGATGGCTTTGCTGACATTAACACAAAGCTGCTTGGCACTAAAATGCAATTGATGCCTTTTTAGAATTATTTGCCCTTGTCATCTTCATGACGTATGTATAGTCTATGGTTTCTGATTTATTAGGCCTTAGAAACCTCTTTTGAATTTTATATCTCAATCAGCAGGAGCCACACCACCCATAACCCTCCTTTTTTACGATGCAAGAGTTTGAAGCCTAGGATTCTCTGGATGTGCAAAGTCTACCACAATAATTTACAACCCTTATTTTCTTTCTCTGCAAGTAGAATCAAAATTTTTTTTTAGGATGAAATGAGGATTACAGCAGATGTGTGAAGCCAGGATAAAACATGAAGAAAAGCAAATTGAACAGTGGAAGGGGCTTCAGGCAAACAGGGAAGGAGTCCTTTAGGGCAATGCTTGCTTCCAGAGCTGTTGTTTTGTTACTTGATGTCCACCTAGCTATGGGATCAAAGCAGAATTTCTTTTGTCTGCCAGGGACCAGTTTTTTCAGAGGTTTCATAAGAGCAAATTACCTCTCAAGACCAAACTGGAACACTGGATACAGCGCAACACACCCACTGCCACCCCCACTTTGAATCCCTTTGCTTGACATTGAATCTCTCAGACCTGAGGAACCCAGGACATAATGGGAGTTTTGCAAAATGAAAAAAAAAAAAAAAAAAGGAAAAAAAAAAGTAGAAAATCTACCCTGGATATAAACCAAGCTAAATAAACACTGTCCTGAGAAGAGAAGTGTTTTCTTCTTCCTCCCTCACCTCAGATAATCACAGAATGGCTTTGTCTGGAAGGTCCAAAGTCCATCCAGTGCCACCCCTGACATGGCAGGGACACTTTCCACAGCCCCAGGGTGCTCCAAGCCCCAGTGTCCAGCTTGGCCTTGGGTACAGTGAAATTGCTGAGTGAATCACAGGAGCAGCACAAGCCCAGGGAATTCCCAGCCCAGTACCTGGATGGGAAGCCAGCTGCACTGATCCGGATGGTCTCCAGCACCCCACAGGCTCTCAGCTGCTGCACTGCTCTCTTTGGATCAAACCTGCAAACAGATTTAGGACAGACATTAACGCACAGTGAGAGGGAACCCACAGCCATTCCCTCCCAAATCTCAGTGTAGCCCATGCCTGGCTTTGGGAACAGGCTGCACAGATGTCACACGTTTTCTCTGCAGGTCACAGAGGTGTGATTTTCAACCTTGCTTCCACCCCTCTACCAATGCCAGGTGTATTCTTGGGATAGGATGACCTGCTGCAATTAATTTGTGCCTACAGTCAGACCCTACTTGGCTTTGTAAAGCAATAAAGTCACAGTAAAGAAGGGAACAGGTTGCCCCACCACAAGCTGCCTGGTTAACCAGGCAGTATTACTCCTGCAGCTATCAGGGCAACATCATATTCACAGAAATCAAATTCAACAGCAAAGTACACCTGATATATTCAGTTCCATTCCAAAACCAGGTAATTAACAGGTGCTGCAAGTTTCTAGACTAAGTTTTCCAAGAACAGTGGCGCTGGTGTTACAGACTAACAACTTTGGTAGGCACCATGTAGAAATTCAAGGTGTTTCTGCCCTCCTCTTTAAAGCTTGCATCATCCCTTACCACTGGCATCCTACTTCCATCAGGAATTTGTGCCAAAAACACTCATGGCAACATCCAGCTGAGTACCTGGGCAGTGCCTCCTCTGGTTCCTGGCAAGAACTCATGCCCAGAACAGAGCATCCTTGCACAGAGTGAGTACAGGTATCTGCATAGCACCTCCCTTCTTCCACCCTGACTCTGAATGCACAAGGAGGTTCAGCTCTTAAGCTCTGGAAAGCGCTGGAAAAGGTCCTTGCATCAAGCTTGGACTCACATGAATGCAGATGTCCACAGCTGTGTGAGGTTTCCAGAACAAAGCTTCCTACATAATACCAGCTTTTCCCTTTCTGAAAGCCCAAAATATTTCCACCTGCAAGTCAAGATTGCATGAATAATTCTGCCTGCTCTCTGCTGTACAAAAGCAGCATGAAAAATAGTCCCCTTCTTCTCTCTCTGCTCTTTTTAATTCCCTGGACCTGTCAGGTCTACAAGCAAGTTATTCACTGCAACACCACAAACACTGTGCAGGGTGAAAAATCAGTCCGGGCTGTCACTCACTTCTAGGAAGAACCCACAAGGGTGCAATTTCCATAACAATAAATAATAAACAGGACTGTCAGATCAGCAGGTAAGCATCAGTCCTGGAAGATCCCAGGGCAATCTCTGCCGTATCCAAGAGAAACTGCAAAGCAGCAAAGCCCTGCTCAGTGGGGGTGAAATGCAGTCACCGGAGAGGCTGCAGTCATTTATCAGCAACAGCTCCAGCTATGGGTTAACACTGAAATTAAGACCTTAAAAGTGGGACAAACTCCTTATTACAAACTCCTTTTCCTTTCCATGTGAGGTAGAAGCACCTGGCAGGTTGCCTTTGGCCTGGAAACCCAAGTCAAAGATCCCAAACCCTGCCTGAAACAGACTCTAAAAGGAAAACTGACAGAGGAACAACCTGAAGTCAGGCATTCCCCTTGCACATCTCTCTTTGGAAGTCTCCTCCACCATGAATTAACCTCAGACACAGCCTGCAGTCAGATGCAGCAAACATTCCTGCTCAGTGCCAAGGTGTCCTCCAGGATGGGAGCCTGAGACCCCTCAGCCCCACTATGGATCTTATCTTTTCAGCAAGCTGTGAAGTAGGAATGCAGGGTGCCAGAAACCTGAGGAAGTCTCCAGTCTGACCTTCTATGTTCAAAAGCTGGGACAGCTGTGAGGGCAGACCCATAGCTCAGGGGTTTACCCACTCAAAACTGATAGAAACCTCCACAGATGGAAGCTGAAAAATCTCTCTGGGCAGACTGCTCCACTGACAGACTGTCCTCAGGGAGAAAAAAACGTGTTTGCTTATCTCCAGTCTGAACCTCCCATATTGATCTGGGGCCATTGCCTCCTGTCCTTCCACCACACACCACTGTTAAGAGCACATATTGTCTTTTTTCCTTTAAGTACTGAAGGGCTGCCATTACATCCTTTTTGCTCTCCGGGGTAAGCATCTCATTTTAGTAAAAATGTAAAGCTCCTCTGAGCTGGAAAATGTTATGTTTTAGAAAGAGAAAACTTGTTTTGTCACTGAACAACAAACGTAACACCGAGTGTTCTGCATGCTACAGACACCACTTTGGTGCTAACCTGGAGCAATGCTGATGATGTTTCACTTCACAAATGCTTCCCAGCACTGTGCACTTTCCAGCATGTGTCTCTAGATGCCACTTTTACACATAAGCAAATAGGCTTTAGAGAGCAAGTCCTATGAGGAGCAGCTGAAGGAGCTGGGGAAGGGGCTGGAGCCCCAGGAGCGGCTGAGGGAGCTGGGAAAGGGGCTCAGCCTGGAGAAAAGGAGGCTCAGGGGGCCCTTGTGGCTCTGCACAAGTCCCTGCCAGGAGGGGACAGCCGGGGGGGTCGGGCTGTGCTGCCAGGGAACAGGGACAGGAGGAGAGGGAACGGCCTCAGGCTGGGCCAGGGCAGGGACAGGGGGGACAGCAGCAGGAATTTCCCCATGGAAAGGGTGGCCAGGCCTTGGAACTGCCCAGGGAGGTTTGGATTCCCCATCCCTGGAGGTGTCTGAGGAAGGTCTGGACGTGGCACCCAGAGCTCTGGGCTGGTGACAAGGTGGGGATCGGGCACAGCCTGGACTCAATGATCCTGGAGCTCTTTTCCAACCTCAGTGCTCCTGGGATTCTGTGACTTTATTTGAGCCAGACTAAGGATACAAATTCCTCAAGCTGATGGCAGCAAGGCCAACCTTGACCAGGATGCCCAGGTCACAGTGCCAATTAAGCAATCCATTAGGGGTGAGGGGGAAGAGTCTCTTGCAGAACCACCCACAGGAGACATCTGAACCCCCTGTGGATGAAGATGCAGCCCCATCACCACAATCTAAAGCAACCTCCTCCAGAACCATCCTGGTGTCTATTTTGGTCTGTTGCTTGTACCCAAAATCCCGAGTTTGGACATTCACCAATAGTAGCATCACAGTGGAATAGAAGCAGGCACTGGCAGAATTATCCTCCTGGTGCTTGCTACCCATAACATCGTAGGGATACAACTGAGTTAATCCAGTTACTGCCCCCTGAATACCAAGAGCTTGCACATCCATTGAATTATATTAACTGTATCCTGAGCACCACACGAAAAACTAAATTTTAAAGTTCAAAGGCAGAGAAGCGAAGAGGGATGAGTTGAAAGCAGAGCCAAGTAGGGACACAGAGTCTTGGATACACCCCTTGGAAAGATGAAGGCATTTCACCACCCAGAGCATCTATCACACTCTCACTATAACAAGTCAGAGAACAATTTTGTGCTTCATCTAAAGAAAACAGTCAGTCACACAGTGCAATCCTGAATTTCATTTAAATGAACACCTCCTGCAAAAGGCAACAGGAGACCAAGGTCCTGAGCAAATCCAGTACCTACAGGATGGTGTGTGAAACAGATCAGCTGAGCACAGGAACTGCCACCCCAGCACAGCCAGCCTTCTCCAGGGCTGTTAAATCCTCATCTAAGGCACCAGGTAAATATGAAACAGTTTCTGAATGTCTTGTAATGATTAAACACTTAGCTGTTTGCAGGGGGAGAAGAGTCAAGCCAGGAAGCTTCCTGGTGGATACATCTCACCCAGCACATCATGACCAAGGGTGAGCCTGCTTAGAGAAGCTTTGCCCAGCTTTCAGGACACTGCTGGAGCTGTCTTTGCACTCCTGAATCACACTGTGCTCACTGGGAGCACTCAGCCTGCATGGGGTCAGCTGGAGGGAAATGCCTCCCTGCTGCTGGATTACATTTACAGCCTTCTTCCTTAAAGGCCACCACCTGCACCACCTGCCTTTCGAGGACATCACATCTGTAAGGTCCCTGCAGACTAATGGCCAAGCTTTCCTGGAGTTACAGGGAAGAAAACTGGGCACAAACCATGACCAAGAGGTCAAACAGGGCTAACAACTGCTACCTGCTCACAGTTTGCTGCTGTGATTTGTCTCTGAAGTATGGAGCAAGATCAGGACTAGCCTTTTGCTTCAGCTGTTAACCTGCCTGAAGTTGATACAAGCCACGTCTTTACTTTTTCTACATTTATTTTGGAAGCACCAAGACACTTTTGTTCATTTTACAAACCCCCTACTTACCTCTGCTTTTTAATTTCTTTCTCTTTTCACTGTTTGGAACTGTAATTATTTAAATCAAAGCAAGTCTAAGATGAAAATTGCACAAAGACCTTAATACTACAAAGAAAGGGTGCTCAGTACTAGCAGAGTATATCTATGAATTATTAGAACCTGAATAAGTCTTCATTTCATAGGCACAAACCCCACATGCTGAAACCCAAAAAGGTGACTCCAGCAACCCACAAAGACCTCCCAGTTACAGGAACAGCATTAAAAGGAGGGGGCAAGCTCCTCAGCAGGAGGAAGAGCCCAAAGCACGTTCTGCTGCTCTAAAGCTGAACACATTTTTTCATCTGCAGCTCCACTTACTTGAAGGGGAGTTTCTCGTCGTTGGGCTTGATGCAGCGCACGTAGTGTGGGGTGGTGGCGTTCAGGGTCTCCATCAGCAGGTGCAGGGAGTTGCGGAACTGAAAGACAAAGCCACACATCTGGAGGAGGTGCTGCAACCCTGCAGCCCCAGGCAGCAGCTGCCACGAGCCACCTGCAGGTGTGACGCTGTGTGACAATTCAGAGAAGACACTGCAGGGTTGAGGGCTTCCAGCTCAAACAGGTTCATGAGCAACAAAGCCTGGGACTCTGCCCAGTTGGGTCTTTGACACGTCTCCAAGGTTGGAGACAGCACAACCTCCCTCTGCCCCTGCTGAACTTCTAAAACTGCCCACAGGGGGAAAAATGCTCCTGTTCTGAAGCTGTTTCAATGTATGGGCTCCACAGTACACTGGAACACTGCCCAGTGAATCCCAGAGTGGCCTCCACCCTCCCTAGACCACGTCTCAGCTGCTTTCAGTCAAGACTACTAAGCCTGTTGCTCCAGAGACAGTGCTAGAAGTCATTCCAACGCAACAGCTGAACACAGAGATCACAGGAAAGTCTCTTCCCACCCCAACAGCTTTTTATTTACCTCTGCTTCAAACTGAAGAAACAAGATCTTAACTGGATTGCTCTGCTGTTAGTGACTCACCCAAATCTTACATTACCTGGTGTCCCACAGTTTTCCTGTGCTCCTTGTTGGCAGCTTTGAAGGCTGGCCTGGCGGAGCGGACGCTGATCCGGGGTGTTCCCTTCCGCACGGCAGTGGCAGGCACAGCTTCCTTCTCCTCCTGGAATAAGTCTGCTACCATCTGATACTAAAACGAAAGAAAACACTTGAGTACCTCTGGCCCCGCTCACTGGGGAACGAACCCACCCACCAGGTCATCACTCAGGTCATTTATCACCCATCCTAAACCTGAAAGAGGAAAAAGGGCAAGAAATTGGAAGCAGGAAGAGTTGCCTACATAAACTACACCAGCAGGACCATTCTGTGCTGCAGTTCATGAAACCTTGAAATGTACACATTAAATCGAACTAGCCAAAAAAACAAAACAAAAAAAAGGCTGGATTGCTGAAGCCTTGTCAAGGCACAAAACCTCCTGAACATGACTCTTGCTCCTAAGGCTTTGTTTCAGGGTTTATCCAGCCCTGCCCCAGCAAGGATGCTGCCTGCACAGCACATACCCCAGGATCAGGATCTCCTGTGAGCACAGGTGGCAGCCAGGCCCCACCCTGGCCCCAGAGCCACCCTTGCTTTTCAAAAAATTAAGGGACACAAACAGTTCCTCCTTAATTACCCACCCTTCAGGGCAGCACAGCCATCCCACAACCTTGCAAGCACCACATCTAACTTGACAGATCCCTAGCTCTGGAATGAATGTTTCTGCTTCATAAACAGCTGAGCTGGAAAATACAGTTAAATGCCTTCTTTATTATTATTATTATTTAGGGAGCAGGATATTCAGATTTACATTAGGCTGGGGAACCTGAATATTAAGTAAGCCACCATAAATCTAGCCTGGTTAGCAGGGCTGTTGAATTTTCACATCTTGAATCCACCTACGCGCCCACACTGGCCACAGCTGCACCTACATTCAAAGGGGAGATCCTTAAATGCAAAAAAACCTCTCTGTCAGCAGGTGGGATATGACATATCACCAGCTGAGCTGGGCTCCAGCCTGGTGACACTGCCAAAGCACCCACGATGCCTCCCAGCCATACAGATGCTGGAGCACCTGAGGGAGAGAACCACATCCCCACATCCATGGCACGCCATCCCAAACACATCCACCCCAAAACCACCAGCACAAGCCAGGGGCAACTGCACAGCGCTCTTGCCCCCACCTCAGGCTCCTCCCAAAGCCCAACCTGCTTGTATTTCCATTAAGATCCCAGGAAGGGTGCTGTGGTTTACCACTTTTTAGACACAAATGGACAGCCCTGTGCTGTGAAGGGCTGCCTGGCTCTCTGCCACACCCCTGGGCTGAGACAGGAACACTTCCACTGTCCTGTGGGCTGTTCTCACAGCTTGCTCCTACAGGAGCCTCAACACCACCGTGGGAAGGAAATTATTTGCATTACACGACCAATTTCTTGCAGGCTCCACAACAGTGCCAGCTCAGGATCTGCTTCAGTCTCAGCTTTCACTGCTATCCCTGCAGCTCACTCAACTCCTACCAAAATAAAGGCTCTCTCCCTCTTCACCTGACCTCCTACCCCTAAAAAAGACATCCTGACAGTTGTGGGTGACACATCCGGGATGCTCTGACTCCTGCAAACAGGACTGGAGGGAGGAGGAGAGGAGGGAGGCATGGATGGCACATGTATTGATGAAAATACCCAGCACAGGATACGACCTCACACCTGACAATGTGGTAAAACCTCTGGATGTAATTTTGGGTTTCAAAATATCTTCTCAACACAGCTGGGAGTGCCACTGATCCCTCCATCCACTTGGTATTAGTAACAGCAGTGCTTGCTCCTGAATGAGCACTGGAGAAGGATCTCAGAGCCGAGCTCTCAGCCTGCAGATGCAAAACCTGGTGGAACTGAGATCATCTCTAGCAGGAACCATTCCACAGGTTCTGGGGCATGAGCAAGTGGGGCAGATCCCTCCTCCACAGCTGGCAGAGTCAAAACCATTGCTGCATTACTTGTAATTACAGAGAACTGGAAAATAATACCTTCACCACATGCCCATATGCCTTCCATCAGCGTTCAAATAATTTCCCTCAATTCAAAGAACATCAGCTCTCAACTGCTTCAGCTGACCAGCGCTTACAGAAGTAATTAAATGCTTCATAAAGTCTCTTTCACCATCTTGTTGATGGCAGTAATTGCATTCTAATTAGCAGAAGGCAGTTCAGTCTTGGTGGGAGTGCTTTGTCAGCGATGGCTTGCTGACAGGGAGGTACCCAGGTCCTTGCTATGTTAAATTCAGTGTTCCCTCTTGCCCTCTGTGCTGCTTTAGTGGGAATGCAAAGGGTGCACACTACTGTGTGCCAGCCTGACCCTGAGGACAGGACAAAGTCCTCTGCAGCACAAATCTGAGCTTTAGTTAAATTTACACATTTATGTAGCAGACTCAGCACTGCCACTGCTGCTTTTTCTGGTTCAGAGACACCAGGTTGCCCTTTACAGCAAAACAAAATTGTTTTTAATTGTTTATAGCCCCAGAGGGCAAATGGCAGGCAAGTGACAGGGTAACAATCTGTTGGCAAACCCGAGTTAGGGGCAGCAAGAGCAGATCATCAGGTGTTGAAGGATTTGTGAGAGGAATGTGAGAAAGCTCCTGCTGCTCTTCTTCCCTGAGCAGCAGGGGATCAGCACAGGCTGATAAAAGCCACTGCTCCCATGCTGTTAGAGGCAGAAATTCAACAACTATCTTCCAAAGGTTCTCAGACCCAGGTGTATTTCAGAGTGTTTTGGGCTGGGTCAGGGCAGCTGGGGCTGCTCCATCCCTGGAAGTATCCAAGGCCACGTTGGATGGGGCTTGGAGCAACCTGGGATAGTGGAAAGGGCAGGGGCAGCACTGGATGGGATTTAAGATCCTCTCCAACCTAGCAATTAAAAGAAGGTCGAGCCTGCTCTGCTGCTATGTTGTGGTTCCTATATGTGACAAGAGAGCCTTTATTTTATATCTGGTTTTAGGGAACAGTTTCCAGGGTCTCCACCACTCTACACCACACAAGTCCAGCGAGTTACAATCTCTCCTCTACACCAACTAGAAGAAGTCAAACAGAAATCCTTATCAGACACTGCCAGTTCTGCAGCACTGACTCCAACAGCAAGTTCAGCACTGGCTAAATAATTAATCACATAGCACCAATTATCACTGGAGGTTACCTGGCATTTCTAAGGAGCTCTAATCACGCCCAGTTTTTCCCTGGGAAGCTTCCTGAACATGCAGAGCTCTTGATTTGGGCATTATTAAAGCCCAGCTTCACAGTTATTAATTTCACAACTACTCCCATGGATGAGAAAATTGTTCATCTTGTCATTTTCACATGAATTCCTTGCCATGAAACAGGCCAAGCCACTGACAACACTTAAATAATTTCCCATTCTCATCTCTTCCAACTTTGACAGGGACAAACTACTCCTAAAAATAATGATTCCTCCATTCCTGCCTTCATCCCACTCCTTTTTCAGGGTGGCATTTAGAAGGTCACAGCTAGCAGCAACCCACGGGTGTCACAAAGAGAAGTCTGAGTATGAGACACAGCATTTGCAAAATGTAGGGGGTCTTCAAAATCTGTAATGCAAAAATAAAAACAAAAATAAAATAAAAAAAATAAATAAAAAAATAAAAATCCCCAAACGAACTTAACATGCTGGCCTATGCTGTGGAAGGCTTTGAAATGGTTTGGAGGAAAGCAGATGTACTCCTTCCTTAAACCACACACCAGTTTTGGAGGAACAATGGTGCCCCAGAGTCATTCAGCCTGGATTTTGGCTGCTGGATGGTGAGTTGGACTTTGCAAGGCTGGATTTTCACACTAGCTGCTTAATAAAAGCTGCCCTGGGGGCAGATGAGGTTGTTTAAAGTTTCAGCTGATTAGCTGACAATGAAAGACTCAAGGCTGCAGGGAAGAACTTTTGGTCTGGTTTTAAAACAACAAAGGTTTAAAATTCCTTAGCTGTCTGTGCTATTGACACTTTTAACACAGCTGACCCATATGTTTGTAGTGATCAGGAGTATGGTACTGGAAGCCAGTGTAAAATCTGCTCAATTTATACAGAAAACTGTAAAATCTTTGACTTGAAGCCCACTGTCAAATGCTCATTTACTGCAGGCAGGACCCTGCTTCAAAGCCTTCAGAGCCCCACAGCTGTTCTGCTTCCAACATCCCACCAAATCCACAGCCCACGGGAAATTTTAAACACCAAGAGCCAAAAGACCCTTCACCAGGAGACCTGGCATTCACAGCCAGCCAGTACATCCCTGCTGGTACTTTGTGCAGTGAGATGTTGACAAGTTGTTTGTACAATACTCGGGAGAGGGAAGGTAACACTAAACCTTGTAAGACACAATCTACATCAAGTGTGATCCTTAGTATCTGTTAATTTGTTGAAGTTACACATTGGCAGCTGTGTAAAACAGCTCCACAGCAGCTGGAGTGTCTCAGAGTTGTGTCACATTCTGCATTAATCACGTTTTTGCACAGTAATTACTGAAGTAATTAGAAGCCACAGGGACAATTATGATGGATTACACTAAGAGGAACAGTGATTTCCACACAGAAGTGGGACAGGACCAGCAAGGCTGCCCAAAATACACAAATTATGCTGGTGACAGTGGCTTTTCACCCCAGACCCCCGTGCTTTTGACCAGCCTGGTCTAGTGGAAGGTGTCCCATGGCAGGGAGCTGGAACGAGACAATACCTAAATTCTCTTCCAACCCAAATCATCCTGTGATTCTGCAGGTGATGGGTGGGGAGCTCCAAGCAAGAATTAAGTGGGATTTACAGTGCCCAAAAACGACCTTGCTCCTAATTGTGGCCCTTGGTGACCAAAAAACGAAGAGGCTCAGGAGGTTTGGGAACTATTTTTGCGATGCATCTTGACAGGAAACCAACACCAGGCTGAAGGAATGCAGACAACCAGCCACATCCACACATGGGTGTGACTACAACCCCCAGCACCCTCCTCTCCCCACCTTTTCCCTGCTGCACACCCCATTGATTTGGCTCTCTGGTTGCTGTCAGTGGCTGGAGCTGCACGCTCACCCCCTCAGCCTGCTTGGAGTGGCACAGGGACAGCTCAGCTCCAGCCTGGACAACTGCCCTCACTCACAGCTTTTACCTTGCTGGCTTTGAGGATGTTGATCTGCTCCTCATACACGGTGTCCCTGTTCTTCTCCAGAAACCCCTCGCTCTGGTACTCCACCTAGCAGGACACAAAGGGAAGAAGCTCAGAGGGTCAAGTCCAAACGCACAGGGGCAAGGTGCTCCCACCCCTGCCCTGCCACCAGGAGCTCACCCAAAAAACCTGAGAGGGGAAAGGAACAACTGGAATTCAAAGGTCACTTTTTATCAAAAGAAGTGAATCTGAGTGAAAGCAAAACCCTCACTGCAAACACTGATTGTTTCCTAGTCATTAAATTGCTGTGTATGGAAGCTGGGGGTCAAAAATGCAAGGATCATCAGGAACACTACACACTCTTTTGTTCACTCCTCAACTCCTTCTAAGTTAATCAATAAACCTCAAAATATGCCCTGCCTAAGTCTCTTCTAGGTCTCTTGGGTTTTGAAATTGCAGAGGGTTGGAATGTAAAGGAATTTAAAATCCAATTAAAATAATTTAGAGAGGACAAAAGAAAATGTCTAATTTTTTCCACATTTAAAAAAAAAGGAAAACGTGCCAAGAAATATTGTTTATGAAGGATCCATATGCAAAACCAGCTGCCTAAAGAAAGGTGAGTACCCGCCTTTGCCATGGTGAGTGCCTCTGGCACCCAAGGCAAACCTGGTTGGGAGAAGCACCTGTATGGAACCACAGCACCTGGATGTTGTCCAGCTCCTCAGACATATCCCTGGGTTGACCTTTTTGATTTTTTCATAACAAATGTGTGTTTGGGATAACTTCAAGCTTTTGAGATTCCTGTTTGCTGTAACACCTGTCACATCAGGGCTTCGGTGAAGCTGAAGCCCATGGACAAGACCCCCGAGCACCAGGCACCAGGATTTGGTTTAGTTCAGTGCCACAGCTGGTGTCTTCTCCCTCAAAAAGGTGGGAGCTGCCTGGGATCACCTCTCACCTCCTCCCTGCACTGTGCCTTGCTGACACACAATTCCCTTCTCCAGTACCTTTCCTACCAAGCTGCCCTTACAGAAATCCATTTCCCAGCAGCTTCAGGAAAGAGGATTTTTCTCTCCTGGAGAAGCCACAACAGCTCAAAGCTCAGAGCCACAGCTGGGAGGCAGAAACCCTCGGGGCCGATCCAGATGTGAGCACCCGAGCCACGGTCCCCAGCCGCCCGGCACCGCGGTCACCAAGGGCAGCTCACAGGGGCTACCCATGGATCTGTTTTCCTGCAGGAGGCTTTCCTGTCCCTGCTGAGTGCTCCCGGTGTGCTAAACCCACCACAGCCGTGCAGGTACCTTGTCAGCGAAGTGCAGGATGATGAAAGAGGTGTTGGACATGCGAGGTTTCTGGAAGTGCTGGCTGGTGGCGTGGCGGTCGTACAGCTTCTGCGCCCAGTTCTGGTCCGTGCCCTTGGGCACCTGCACGGGGACAGGGACAGGGACAGTGACAGGGGGCTCTGTGCTCACGTACTTCCATGACAAACACACCAAAACTGCCTTTCCAGCAGCGAACACCCAAATCCTGGTTCTGTTCCAGCAGCCAGAACGGCTCTTGCAGGAAGAATTTTTTAAAAAAGGCAAAATAAACCAACAAGACAAACCAAACAAACTAAAAAAAACCAAAAAAAAAAACAAACACCCCCCCCCAAAAAAAACTAAGCAAAAAAAAACACCCTGAAGCAACACAAAAACAAAGAAAAAACCCCAAAACAAAACAACAGCCAGCAAAGCTAAACAAAATCAAATCAAAAACCAACAAAAACTCCAAAACCAAAAAAACAAAAAGCCCCAACAGAAACAAACCCAGGACCAAACAAAAATCCCCAGAAGGAAACAAAACCCCAAATACCTACACACACAAAACCTCCCAAACAACAAAAAACACATACTTATTAGAACAGAAATATTAAGGAACTATTTTTACACTAGATACATTAACTACTCAGGCACCAACCTTTTTTTTTTAATACTGTTTTAGGTGACAGAATAGTTTCCACAACTGCCACATGAGACAATATGCATGAAGTTCTGGTTTATTTAACAGTGAAATTGTTCCTTTTGGGGTCCCCACTACTGATGGGGTTCATCCCCACCCCATGAATCACTGCTGAGCACAGCAGTGGTTGCACATACACACACACCTACATATATTTTTAACAAAAAAGTGGATAATTGAATACTTAGGTTAGAAGAAGAGGTGGTTCAGTCTCAGTCAATATTTAAACTTAGATGGGACGAAGCTTAGAACAGAACAACTGTGCAGAAACAGAGAGAGGTCCTGATGATCCATGTGGACTTTACATAGGCTTTTGTATGAAAAATGACAGAGGAAATAGGGACAGAGAGCAGGAAGATGAAAAACATGAGACAGGCGAGGAATACTTATTTATGCTGTTCTGACACAGCCTTTGATTTCATGACAGCGAACCAAAACACACCAGAAGGGTTCTGGATACAGGGATAAGCACCCCCTGCCAATCCTTGTAATGAGGGTGAATTAAATGCAGCAGCCACGCATGTAAGACGTGCTCTCCCACATTTATTTATATTTTATAATTTTTAAGTGTAGCCAATTATGGATACACACATAAATAACACAAACTATATATAAATATTGAAAGGCACTTAGCTATGCAATTATATACATGTTTTATTTATGCAAGGTAAGACTCGGTTATATAAATGTAGATGTGTTTCTTTTCATGGGTTATATTTAATATTTGCATGCAAAAACATCGTTTCTGGCGGTATCACTGGGTGCCTCCTGGGCAGAACTAAGCCACAGGTGCAGAGCAGGAGCACTGCAGCCACCCTGAGCCAGATTTATCCTGCACCAGCTCTCTTCCAGGGCATCCACTTTGCTGAAAAACCTGCTTATCTCGGAGTTAAACTTCAAAGTCATCGCTCCTGCCTCCCAGAAAGAGGGTCTGCCGTACCCTGCTCACCATCCTGCAGCCTGGGTATTTTTAGCTGCCTGGGAAGCACCTGATAGGGACCAAGCTCCAAAGATAAAAATTAACAAGGCCATTATCTGTACTATTATAACAGCTTTTGGTATTACCTTGGCAGTTCGAGGCCCTTAGAGAAACTGAGGAAGATATTTAGAGGCTATATCATCATTTTTTTAGGGGATGGGGAAGGGGAAAAGAGACTGCCTTGCAAGTTTAGTACGAAATATTTAAAGAGAATAAAGCCAATACCAGGAATTGCACAAGGTCACTGCCTGTGCTTCTCTGTCCCCACCATGCCTCTGCCTGTCACGGGCAGGGTCCCCTCCCCTCCGGATTCACTGTCCCTGGTGCTGCCAGGTGCTTCTGCAGCCACAGTCACACCCACCCTCTGCAGCCAGGGCCAACCCCACAGGATCCATTCTGCATCCCAGGAGCCAGAACCCCCCAGGAACCCCCCAAGAACCCACCAGCCAGGTGAGGAGGTGCTTGGGACCACCTGGACTAAAGGCTGAGGTTCCCTCCACCACCACCTCCAACAGAATTAAATGGATAGAAGAAACAATGGTCAATGGCTTAAGGTGAAGGAGGGTAGATCTAGATTAGATATCAGGAAGGAATTTCTCCCTGTGAGGCCCTGGCACAGGGTGCCCAGAGCAGCTGGGGCTGTCCCTGGATCCCTGCAGTGTCCAAGGCCAGGCTGGACAGGGCTTGCAGCAGCCTGGGACACTGGAAGGTGGCCCTGCCCATGGCAGGGGTGGCACTGGATGAGCTTCAAGGTTCCTTCCAGCCCAAACCATTCAAGGTTTCTACGATGCAAACCTAATGATCTAAAAGTCAACTCTGAAAACACAGTAGGAACTACTGACATTTTATTTCTTTACTCCTCAACACTCCAATATAAGCTAAAGCCTGAAAAGAGCCAGGGCTGCTCCTGCACTCCAGAAACACGTTCCACTGCAAGTGATGTGCCTGACTTTAAAGTCATCAGAGCTGACAGCGTGACGTAGGGGAGGCTGTCCCGCCCGAGAGGAAAGCCCAGGGGTCCAACCTCTGTGTATCTGCTGGTGGAGCAGAAATCCCCCTGGACAGGAAGGCCATGTGCTAATTTCTGATGTCCAAAAAACTAACGAGTTCAGACAAGGAAAACACATTTGCTCAGATCCCCAAGTTCGCAGCGAAGCACGGAGACAAGAGAGATGGAAGAGCAGTCGGCCAGAAGCGGAGCACAGCGTTCCTGGCACTTGACAGAAGGACACAGCAAAGGTTAAAGAGCATCTTCTGAGCAGCGTTAGAAAATGCATTTGGCACATTAGCAGCATCACACAGTGGCGACGTGCCATGGAACACAAATGGGGCCACAGAGAAGGTCAAGAGCATGAGGGAGCTCGTGGGTTTGGTGAGACACATCCCCCTTTGGCAGCCTCAGGGTCAGGCTGCTCCACAAGCAGAAAGATCCCTCACAAATCTTGGACAACGATGACAGCATTGACACGGGAACCTTTCCAATCAGCCTGTTCTTGACTGAACCCTTTTGGTTCCACTTAATGGAAATGGACACTTGTTTTTTCATTCATTTTTTCATTCTCACTCCCATGCCAGGGTGAAAGCAAGGAAACAGTGAGGTAGCAAGACACCTTATGGAGAAACCTGGCCACCCATGGTAACCTCTGACTCTGCTCCCAAACAAAATGTCCTGAGCTGGAAGGGACCCACAAGGACCAACAATGTCCAGCTCCTGGCCCTGCAAAGCACAGCCCCAAAAATGCCACTCTGTGCCAAAAAGAGCACTGTCCAAGGCACTTGGGAATGCTGGAAGACAGACAGCATGCCCACATGGCATGCAGTTTCAGCCTGAGAAGCAGGACAGCTCAACCCAGCTTTGGCAGAGGCTCGACTGCATTTCCCAGTGTTTTCTGTTTCCCTCTTCAGAGAGTTCAAGTCATTCCACATGTTTCCTCAGAATTCAAAGCATTCAAATTCTTCCAAAGTGTGCTGTTCCCTCCACCAAATTAACTCCCTCTACAAGTGCAACCACACCAAAAACCCATTCGAGATATCCAAGCAATCTTCCCACAACCAGATTTAGAGAACACAGACTCCATCTTTCATTTCTTCTGACAGGCTCTAGTCCTTTCCCAGGTTATTTCCCTCTTGGCCCCACACTAACTGCACCCACCCTTCACAGCTCACCAGAGGGGAGGTTCTCCTGGATGCCCTTCTGCCCTTTCCCACCTCTTTGGGCTCATCAGTTCAGCACGTTGGAGTCCCACCATCGTGGTGGCCTTGGCTTCTGGCCAAGGCTTTTCTGAACAGAGGACATGAACTCTCACTGTTCTTCTGGCATCAGAGCAAAACCAAGAGGTCCTAAAAGCTACAGATCCAGGCTGGTGAAGCTCCTGTGCAGAAAACAGGGAAAAGGCTCTCCAAGGACTCCAGGGTCCCTCAGCAGAGGACACAGGTCACAGTCCAGAGAGATTACAAGGGTTCCTGGGCAGACAAAGGACCAAAGGAGCTCCAGAAGCCACCTCCAAACTTAATAATTCTAGAACAGCTTCCAACTCCTATGATTACAAAGCTGTTTTTAAAAACCCAAACATAAACATCTCCCTCCTGGAGAGGGATTTTTCACAAAGACATGGAGGGCCAGCACCCAGGCAATGGCTTGCCAGTGCCAGAGGGCAGGCCCAGCTGGGATATTGGCAAGGAATTGCTGGCTGGGAGGGTGGGCAGGCCCTGGCACAGGGTGCCCAGAGCAGCTGGGGCTGCCCCTGCATCCCTGCAGTGTCCAAGGCCAGGTTGGACAGAGCTTGGAGCAAGCTGGGACAATGGAAGGGGTGGAGCAGGGGATGGAGCAGGATGATCTTTAAGGTCCAGACCGAACCATTCTGTGATTCTGTGATTCCATAATTCTATATCCTAAAGGCTGTTTTAAGAAGTAGGGTTTTTCTCATTAGCTTTCAGGAGACAGGCTTAGTCCTTAACACCCCAACCCCAGTTCAAGAGCTCTCTCTTTCACCGCCAATTCTTACATCAATCTTTCCCCAAACAGCAACAAGACTCTCCTAGGACCTACACTGCTTCAGCACGTACCCAGCCACCTCCTCCCAGCGTTAGGGATTAAAAAAAGCCCCATACTGTGAAGCAAGAACATTAGTGACAAACCCTCTGCATTTGCACTAATGCTTCATTATTATCATCACAAATATTCCCCTGATGCCGTTTCACATCCCAGAGTGTTTTCATCCACTGCCGTGGGTTCTAACGAGTTGGCATGTAATTACTTTATTGTGGTCCCACCCCAGGAGGTGAAACACTGCCGTGGGGGTGAAGGTTTTCATCCATAAACTGCTGCTTTCAGTTGACAGGTTTTGCTGAAATGTTCATAAATCTGGAGAACACTTGCAGGTTGTAATAAAAGAGGCGATTACAGGGCCGGTAATAAGGGCCTGTGACTAATGACAGCATCCCCCACTGACAGGTAAACACCCAGATAATTGTCATTTGATGAGAAGGGAGCGGGAATAGTTCTTGTGGTTTTGGGGGTTTTTTTTGTTGTTGTTGTTTTGCTGGGTTTTTGTTTTGTTTTTGTTTGGTTGGTTTGGTTTTTTGTGGGGGGTTTTTAGGTGGTTTTGTTGTTGTTGTTGGGTTTTTTGTTGGTTTTCTTGTGGGTTTTTTTGTTGGGGTTTTTGGTTGTTTGTTTGGTTTGGTTTTGGTTGTTGTTTTGTCAAATAAATAAGTATGGAGGGAAAAAGTAGGTAGATGGTACTGGTGGTATATGGGAGCTGCAATGTCACCACCAGCAATGTCACCAGCAGCAACCAGTGCCAGATACTCCAGAGAGGAGCCAAGGGTGTTACTCTCAACAGCAGGAGAACTTCCCTTATGCCCCTTACAGCATCCAGGAGACAGTTTGAGCCTTCAAAATTTAACTGGCCCAGCAGCACAGAGACCAGATGAAATGGTGCTGAATATCAGGCAAATAATCCGACCTCCTTGCGAACCTGCACTGGCTGAGATACTGTTTTTAAGGACATCAACATTAAGTCTGATTTGTTCTCGCTTTTAAGGAGATTTCCTGAGAACAGGCTTGAAAAGGGCAAAGCCCCAACTCCAGCTCAGCCCAAAGGTGTAGCCAACACAGGTGTCACATCCTTTTCCAGGGAAACTTGTCTGAACAATGGATCCCAACCCTTTCCCTCCGATACAATATGACTCTTGTGCTCTCGAGACACCAGACCTGTCCTGTACTCATGGATCCACAAAAAGAATTCCTTGGGTCCCTCATATCACCTTGGCTGCACTGGTGAGGGCCCCTTACCTACTTCAGCTCTCCCAACACTTTGTTTCACTCTTCCCTGCCTTTGCTCAAGAACACTCAGAGGCCTCCCACAGTCAGGTATTTCCTGGCACAGAAAACATCCAAGTCTCAATGGAAACCCTTCCTGAGGACAATGTGGGACATCCCACAGCTGAGGAGCGTCCCTCAGAGACTGAGGCTCCTCATGACAGCCACACCCAGCAGGAAGGCACTCCCCATCCCCTTCCAACAGGACATCTCCAGCATCAAAGAGCTTCAAAACAGGCATCCCAACTTCCCAAGGAAACCTGCCCTCTGACATTCCTTGTTCCTATGTATACTTGATTATTCATGACTGAACAATGGGTGGACAAGGAGTCCAACCTATCTTTTGGACTGTCATCAAGGTTTACCACTCTGGTTTTTACTCTCAAATTTCAAACAAGATTTTGGCCAGTGAGAGAGGGGACAAAAGAGAACAAACCGCTCTCCAACATCTCTGAAGTCTGCCCATTAAATGCAGTGAGCTTTACCTTAAAGAGCTCTTGCAAGAGGACTCGGGTTTCCCCTGAGACAAAATAAGGCTTGAGAGGAGCTCCAGCTACTGGCAGTGCCAAAGATATCAGGTCTCAATCAGTGGCTGTTCCTCAGTACAGCCAGGCCAGGCACACGAGCACTGGCTGCACATGGTGAGTGCAGGTACAGGGTCTGGAGCAAACACCTGCCCAGGAGGCTCTGAAATGTTCCAAACCAAAGCAAATGCCAACTCAAGCCTGCTCTTGCCATGAGCACAGCAGCAACACACATGAAAGGAGATGTTTACCCACCTGAAAGGCACCACAGATTAAAGCCCACTCTTGGATCTTTTATAGAAACAGAGACACCGGCAAAAAGGTGGGGGGTCCTCGTTACCTTGCACTCTTCATCCAGCAGGTCCAGGATCCCAAGCTTGGCCTCTATCAGGTCTATGCAGGGCTGGTTGTCATAGAAGTCTATGAGAGTCCAAGGGATTCCCTCCTTCATGTACTCTTCCTGTTCCAGCTTAAAGACGTGCTGGGAGTGGGAGAAAGCAGGGTCACCGAGTGCCAGCAGAGCACAGCCCCTTTCCCCTGTCCCTGCTGGAGTTCAGCATTCCAGGAGCACATCCCAAAGCCATAGAGGTTCTGGGTCCTCTCACAGACAGCCTGCATGGGCTCTGCCATTCACACAGCTCAGCTCCTGGCAAGGAAAATAAAACCACTGCACTGGGAAACCACGGCACAGGGAAAAAACAAGGCTTGAAATGACTTTCACTGCATAACGACTGGAGCTGTCACTGCGCCGAGGTGGAAGCCATATCCTGATGTGGCAATGACACATATATCTCTTGGGCTGACAGAAATCCTCCTCTGCTTTATTGCTCTGCTGATTAAAGCAGTGACCTGGAGCAGGTTCACAAGCTGGGAGCCCAGCCAGGGCTGAGAGTCTGTGCTCCCCATCGAGCAGGGCTTCACAAAGAGCGCCCATCATCCCAGAAGGGATATCAGCAGCAGCATCTGACTGACTCAGGGACACTTCTATTGAAAATTCTTACTTAAAAAAAAAAAAAAAGTGTAATAAAAAAATCTTCGCGTGGCTTACGTATCTCAGACCTCTGCCCAAGCAGATAAATTGTCTCAGGCTATTTCTGAGATACTCTAAAGCATATTAAAAAATGATTTTTCAAATGCACTTTTTTTTCCCTTCAAAGATAGCTTTTTAAAATCTCTTCAAACATGTCATCTTGAAGTTTGAATTTATAAGCTTCAGAAGCGATAGTTAAGACATACCAAGTAAGATATGAACAGTGCAAATACAATCCATAATTTACTTTTCATTTTTAGCAGCAGTGATCTATCTGATGCGTAAGATAGACTGCAAATGTTCATGTCCATGCATATGATATGGTTTCAAAGGGCCAAACTAATCTGCAGTACTTAAATGCTCAAATTTAACAAGTTTCCCCTGTATCCTGAAATTAACAGTACTTTCTTCCCTACTTACAACCAAAGCAGAAGACAACTCCTTACTGGTTCCATTTCCAGTGAAGGTAAATGATTGTTTCCAATAAAATAGGAAAATTTCTGGGTTTTGTGAGGCACATCCAAGCGAAAAGTGGGGAGTGTTTCAAATCCTGTTATTTAATACAGACTTTTCATCTCTCGGGTTTAAGCCATGCTTAATGGAAAGGTTTCCACGCCCGTAACTTATTTTAATTCACACTGAAAATCAGCATGAGACCATCCAGGTTTTGTTTTAAGACTGAAACAGCACCAGGAAAAAGGCAAATTACATACTTATTCAGAGCAATATGTGAGCCTTCACACAAACCACATGCAAATCCATTTCCAGGGTCAAGTTTATACACCAAATAAGCAACATTTTCCAGCCTGAAAGGAGTATCTAGATCCACTGCAGTGAAATGTCTGGGAGAGAGGCATCCCAAGGATGTACATGATCTGTCCAGGCTGCAGGTAAATGCTGTTAAGCAGAAGCCAGAAACACAACAACCCTGCCTCGTTACATTTTCTGCTCAGTTTCATGGAACGTTTCCAAGCTGACCTTACCGAGTTGAACTGCTGCTGGAGCTTCTCGTTGGCATAGTTGATACAGAACTGCTCAAAGCTATTCACTTCAAAAGTTTCAAACCTGCAAAGCAATGAATAAATCAGCATTAGGCACTGCTTTGTTTCAAAATCTTCCCTTTCTTTAATTTTTTATTTTTTTATTTTTCCTGTAAGAGAGTAATCTGCGTGATGGGGAACACCACTTACTCAGGCATCTCTTCCATTCCTCCTACCCCAGATCTACACTTTTTTTTCCTCAAAACATCTATCTTCCCTTGGCACAACTCGAGGGATTCAAGAGGTCCTTCCTGCCACACATGAACGAGACATTTGGCACGACTGCAGCTTCCTGCCCATCAGCTCTGTCTGAGACAAGAAATGTAACTGCCTCTCCTGGGGAAAAATATTATTAAATATTAAGTCCGAATACACTCACCGCAAAGGTGATGAAGAAACAGTAGCTGCTGTCTTAAAAGACCCGGCGTGCTATTTTTAATGGAATTTAATAGAGCAGAAAAAGAAGGTATTAAATTTGTAATTATAGCTTCTGTACTGCATCCCTGTTAGCACAAAAATTAGACACACGTGAGTAAGCAACTTCTGGAAGGGAGAAGGGGAAAAATGGTGATTTCAGCTCCAACTCCATGCTCCTCAGAGAAATCTTAGAGGTACCCTGGCGCTGGACTCAGTGCTTCACCTCTTCGCCAGGACTTTCACAGCCCCCCACACCAAAACATTACCCTGCCCTGACACACATCAGCTCCAAAACAGGCCCAAAAATAGCTTCTTAGTCACAGTTATAAAGGAAAAAATATGCAGTTTTAGTAACACAAAGTACAGGTAAGGAGCAGGGAGCCAGCAGAGCCCCTGAGGCTGAAGCACACAACATCCAGGGACAGGCACAGGGAGCCAGGCTTGCTCTTGAAACTCAAGGAGGGTATTTTGAGTTACCCCTGGGAATTATGTGTTTTATATTTCTATTTTTAAGGCACAGTTGGAAGGGGGAAGGGGGAAAAAAGTCTTTGACACATGACTGTAAGGATTAAACCACGGGGAGAAGTGGGAAGGCTTCCTGTGTTCAATGAGTAAGCTGCTGTAATGATAAATATGTGACTAAATAATTGTCTGGGTAATAGGCACTGTAGGAGCTGGCAGAACAGTCTTTAAACACTGAATAAATGAAGCCCTTTCTTTCCAACCTCTCTTCCTCAAAATAATCAGTACTTCTGCCACTCCCTGAGGTGATGCAGTTGTTCCCCTGGTACTTCCAGGTGACAATGCCGTCACTGCACAAAATGCCAGTGTCCCTGGGGAAATGCAATGCCAAACGGCAAAAGAAAAAGGGGAATGGGAGAAATGAGCTGGTTTTCTGTTTTTATCACCCCCACAGTCCTTGAGGAAACCTAGGACTGCTTTACCTCTGCACTGCCCCCGCAGCTGGTGCCACCTGTGCCAAGCAAAGGATGCTTAATCCATTCCCTTCCCAGAAACTGGGATTTACAGTCTTTCATGCAACAGAATCTGGTGCCTGGGACAGCAAATGTTTACATTAAACACATGGCCTGTCCCTCAGTGATGAGTGTGTCCTTGGAGAGCTCCCACTGTGCTCGACCTTGGTTGCGTGGCTGAGCGAATCAGCGCCTCCAGCTCTTGCAACTCGAGGAACGTGAAATCCCAGGACTGTTGGGAAACACCAGCTTCCCCACAGCAACAGGGCAGGATTTAGTTAAAACACAGGTGGAGAGGTGCAGTGAGCTAGGTGGAAAAAGGCAATGAGGAGTACACGAGGAAAAGAAATCGGAGTAGAAACTTCTCCCCTTCCAAGACACCAGATGTGATTTATGAACCCTCCCAGTGAGGGCCAGGCGGGGGCAGAGCTGCTGTACAACTCCAGCTCCAAGGGAGATCTCACAAAGTTGCTAATTAAGGGACTCCAATAGCACAATTTGCTAATTGACAAAGCAGATTAGTCACCAGCCCTATGTGTGTGCTCACCAGGAGGCCCTACCTGCTCAGAGGGACTGCAGCATCCTTGGTGGGGAAAGCAAAACAGTGCCTGTTTGGTCCCTATTCATTTTAGTGCACTGTAATTTGGTGGGAAATTAAGCATATTCACCACTCCAGCCCATCGCTGTGGCTCCCTGGAAGGCACATCCAGCTTGGGGACAGCTCCCGTAAGTAGATTTTCAAGGGGAAAATGCTGTATTTTGGTTTTTCTTCTGCTCCACATTCTGCTGTGTGGGTAGTCTCTCCCAAGTCCTCTGCAGCACCAAGGTTTGTATTAAAATATTTATAGTTCATGAATAAGTCCAGCACACAGCTGGTCGCCTGGGTGTTCACACTTCACATGGCAAACAAGAGGGGGAACAAGCTGTCCCCAGCAAGTCCAGGAGTGCCACACGGATCCACTCTTCTGACTGACTTCAGCATTAGTGCTACAGCAAATAACCCCATTTCAATAAACACAGAAAGAAATAAAGAAATAAATACAGAAATTTGAGTGCTGCACCCTCTCACCTCAGTGTTAACAGAGAATGGAGGATGCAAGGTCGAGCATGAGAAAGTTGGAAGAAAAACCCTACAGCTTCTGCATCCTCTGTTTGGATCCCACCCCTAGAAATCCCACCCATAGGGACAATCCTCCCTTAGGAGCACCAGGAGAGAGAAGTTTTGAGGGTGTCAAGGATGTGCTGTGAAGCTGCCTGTGGGCTCCCTGCCTTTCCAGCTCAATCCCTCTCCCAAAGGAAAGGAAAAAACAACATCCACTTGGGGAAAAAAAAAAAAATCTCATTGTTAGAAAAATGCATTAAAAACTCAAAAAACACTAGAGTTAGGAGAACCCCTTTTGAAGTTCAGCAGAGTCAGGCTATCATCATCCATATTCCCTGTGTTGTTAATTACTCAGCATTTAGACAGCAATACTCATTTATGAAAGGGATTTACGGTCATTTTAGGACACCAGACTCTCACAAGCACTTCAGCCAAGAGCATGGACACCTTCCCCTGCAAATCTGCCTCTTTAGCAGGACCTGCAGGTCCTTGTGAAAAGCCCTGCTGGTGTCACCAGGGCTGTGAAAGCATCTGCTGGCCCACGCACTGGACGTGACGCACAGACCGCCGGCTGAAGGAGGTTTTTTCTTCCACACTAACAGATTTTCAGGCCCAGCTTAATCTTTCATGAGCCTTATCCTCAAGTCTCCTTTCATTCAGATTTCTGAAAGTCTGATCCTCTAGCTCAGGCACCCAATTTTCTGTATGGACCCACCATCACCCACAGGGCTCCATCTTAAAGCTTTATTAATCATATTCCAGCCAGCAGAAAATTCTGTTTGTAGGGACAGAGACAGGAAACAGCTTCTCTGTCTCATACAGTCTTTGAACAAGACTGTGCCATATTTAAGGTTTTCCCAAGAGAACCCAGAAACTTGAACCAGAGAGAGCAACCTCATCACTTCAAGCTTTCCCAGTGAAATCCCAAACCAAACAGAACTGTACTGTTATCATCCTTGACAGCAGTGTTCCTGCAAACCTTGCCACATGACAGCAGTTACTGACGGAGACCAGCAACCTGTGGGGCTGCACTGGTGCTCCAGCACTTTCTGGCATCCTTTCTGCTGCTGTGGCTTTCCAGCAGATGTCAAAACCAATGTCCCAAATACCAGCAGCTGTAGAAACCTCGTGGGAGGGTTTATACACAAGACACAGTTCCAGCAGTTGCGTGGGTGTTATAGCCCTAAAATCGGGCTGCTTTTTTGTTCTGATCCAGAACTGCTTTGGGAAGACTTCATTCTGAACCTGAAGGTTCTGCTAGGGCTGATAGACCTTCAGAGGACACAGGATTTGGGACTGAGCAGCACAGAAACTGCCCTGGGTTAGGGACTGGTTCCTGGAGCAGCTGCAACTTGTGCATTCCACCTTCCCCTCCGAAACAGGAGCCATTCAGCACCTTGATGTGTCAAGGGAGAACAGGAGACCCCTGCTGTCCCACTGAGAACCACAGAATCCCAGAACAGTTCTGGAGTGCAAAGGACCTTTTAAAGTCATCCAGTCCCCACATGCAGGGACACCTTCCACCATCCCAGGTTCCTCCAAGTGCCATCCAACCTGGCCTTGCATGGACCACCTGGGACTTCTCTCCTGCCCCTGCTGCCCAGAGACACCAAAAAAAAAAAAGTGTTGAAAAAATGGAGGGTAAAACCCAAACCCCACAAGACCTCTTTGCTTTTCCACCCCACAACTGAGAGAATCCCTTCCTTCTGTCTTCTGCTTCTTTGCAGCACTTCAGCTAAAATAAACTCGGACAACTCTCACGTCCCTCCTCTACCACCACCCAAGTGCCAGGAGGACAAACTGGGCAGTAATGGGTACCCAGAACAATTTTAAAGCGGCTCGTTGCCCCTGAGGGTGCAAACTGCAAGCCTTGCTGGAGCTTTTTGCACCTTACATCCCCACCACAGGTTGCCAAGCTCCTCTGAAAGCTCTCACTGCACCAGGGCCCTGCAGCAGCGGCTTCACGGATGAAGTAAAGTAGTGTCCTCAAACCCCACAGCAAGATGAGGCAGTCTTTGGTCTCCACAGCAGCACCTTCACCCCATCTCATCCTTAAGGTTGTTTTAAACAGCACAGGAGACAGAAACCCCAGATGGGAAGGGCATGGGAGGTAAATCCCAGAACCCAGTGCTCACACCGACCCCCATGCACCATTCTGCGCTGAAGGCTGCACACTCTGGAAGAGGACCAAAACTGCAAACTACACAGCACTTTTTTGTGATCCTTTCTTATCATTCCCGCATTTACTGTGCTCTTTTCTGATTATTCCCATGACGTGCCACCAGCCAAAGCAGTGTGAGCTTTGCAAGGAGGGGAAGACAAATCATAAAGGACTCATTGAGCAGTGCCTGAGGAGGTGCCTACCCATAGATGTCAAGCACGCCGATGAAGGAGTGCTGCTTCACAGTGGTGTGCAGGGCCTTGTTGATGTGCTGCACGATCCAGTTGAAGAGCTGGGCATAGATGTGCTTGGCCAGGGCGTTCCTGGCGTTCACCACCTGGTGCAGGGACATGCTCTTCACGTAGGTCTCGGCCGTGGTGACGAGCTTGCGGTGACAGAGCCAGTGCTGCATCTGGCTGTGCTCCACGCCCAGCAGGCTGCAGAAGTTGCTCAGGTGCTCGTCTTCACTCTGGGAGGGGGGACCAGAAGCAAAATCAGCAGGCTGGTGACACCCCAAACTGGCATTTTAACACCCAAGCTCAGGGATCTGCGCAAGGAATGGCAGTTCTTTATAACAACCTGTGGAAAGCTGCGTCTCCGAGGGGGACAGGAGAGCAGGTACACCCATGCAGCTGTGCTAGTCCTCATGGACAGCTCTGGATGGTGGGACTGAGTCTTGGTCCTGCTCTGGTTATCCTTGAGCTTTCACAAAGAGCAGATTCCCACGGGAAAAAGAACTCTCCACCTCATTCCTCCTCGAGCTGCAGCTACGCTCTCCCCCTGAGCAACCCTGGTTATGCCTCAGACTAAAGCTTAGTCTATGCCATGACACCATGCCTTTTACAAAACAACTCCATCCTGAATAACAAAGTCATAAATCGTGCATTACCAGAAGGGCTTCGGCTTTGCACAATTAATGAAATGAAACTTCATTTTCTTTAGTGCAATGTATTTCTCCACCCCCCTCTGAAATTAAGACAAAGCAGTTCTGAGTCTCTATTATGGTCAGATAGCAGGCACTGCCTTTTGGAAAACGAGAAAACAATTTTCCCTTCCTCTGTGTAATAATACATATCTATAGAAAGTAAATTGTTTCCAATTAGGCAAGTGTACTCAGAAACGCTGGATGGGGTTGGGGATGCACAAAAATGTGCATTTTACAAGAATTCTAGGATGTTTTATTGCTTCAATACCTTTTTGACCAGAGAGTCAAGGTTGTACCAGAATTGATTTAATACCGTGCAATTACATTTGAAGGTAATTAAACAACATGAACCTCATTAATAGAGCTCAACACTGTTGAAGCAGACGGCTTTCACATATCCATGTTGCCAAATACCAAGTAAATTACCCCCAGCATCTCACTCATTGAAGACCACATTATCTCAAGGGTAACACTAAAGCATGTGCAGAACCCTTTTAATACTTTAATTAGGAACAAACAACCCAGCCTGGGATGCAATGATAATTTACAGGACAGTATTTTCCATATAATTGCTTTACTTTCCCCCACCTCTAAGCAAACACAAAAGGAGAAAAACCGCCTCTAAGGCATCTTTAGTGCTATTTATTTTTGCTAATTTACTATGCAGTGCTCCTTTGGCCACGTTACAAGCAGCAGCTCCGTGGCTTTGCCTGGAGGAAAGTTGTAAAACCTCACACCTTGTGCTGGTGTCACCATCAGTGTCACGAGTCCCCAAGACCCTGCACTGGGTGCTCCAAGGCAGCAGGAAGAGTCAAAGGTGGGTTGGGATGTAAGGGATGTAAGCAATTTTTGAACAATCTTGCTTGCAGGCTGGCCAGAGAGGAGGAATAATGCATTATTTCCCTGAACAAACAAAGCAACGAGGAGCTCTTGATGGGTTTTCAAAAAAAGGCCAAGAAAACCAGGAGGAAAAGGGCTTTCTACCAAAGGACACTGCTGTGAAGATCAACACATCACACAGCCTGACTCCTGAGCACACCCAGCTCCCCAGGTGCCCCCTCCTGAGGGTGACCTACCGAAACACTGCAGGCTTCCCCATCTCGTTCCCCTTGGATTTCCAAGTTCCCCAGGTGCAGAATGGCAGCAATTATCCTAAAAATGGTCATCTGGTGAGACTCCTTCACTCCTGCAGGAACAATTGATAGCTGATTGTCACAAAGGAAAACAAAACACGCTTTTGAGTTTATTTGAAGGTGCTAGCAGTGTTTGATTTCCTTCCGAGGCAATTGGTTTTCAGAATCGTGAGGCTTCTTCCAAAAAATACACCATAAAATCTCAATTTTAACACAGATGGGTTTAATACACACAAACCCAAGGGTGTTGCAGTGATCAAACAGGATCAGAGTTACAGGGGCTCTGCAGCTTTCACAGAACAAGGACTTGCTTGTCTTTCATCGCAGCCTGCTGACAGCCCAGGCACAGAAATTACAACTTATTGCCAACGTCCCACAAAAAGAAAGGAAAATTAAAGCCCTGCACAATGCCTCCACACTAGTGGCACAGCTGGATGCAGCAAGTCACCAGGGAGGTGATGGGGAGCTCTGTGTTACCCTCCCCAGCATCTCTACAAGAGCTACATGTTGTGGGTCTTTACTGGGGGTGTAAGATACCATTGTTTTACACATTTTATTTATATATATATCGCTTTGTCTATTTTTCTTTACAGGCATTCCCAGGATTTGCAGGCATTCCCAGCAGGAGCTTTGCTCAGCAGAAGCCTGCACATGGCCTGCTTGCAGTATCTTGCATTTTTTTAATGTCCCAGCTGGGTTTCTGTGTCCCTTTTGTGCTCAGGGCTGGTGTCCTAATTATCCACCCAAGGTCTGAGACATCACCTGCTGGTTTCTGAATTATCCAGAGCTTCCCTTTCTCTCTCTCTCGGGACTTTTCTGCTATCAGCACAGTGAGATATGTTTCAAGGTTACTGAAAGGAGCAAGGCTCTGCTCCTACTTGGAACTCTTAGCTGGAGTTAAGCCTGGCTAGGACTGGGGATTTGCAGACAAATTTGACTTCTTGTTACACACAAAAAAGGCGAGACTGGAAACCGTAGCAGCAATTTCACCAGGCCCTGAACAGATGCAGAGCTGGGAAACACTGAAGGAAGATGAGGAAGAGCAGAGACAGAGAAACACGTGAAGAACAGAAAATCATCATCAGACTGGCCCCAGAGGAAGATGCTCTCACAGGGCATCCCAGGGACCAGCATGGAGACAGGGGAGCTGCATGAGGAGCCAGAGAAGGGAACCAAAGAGACACTACACGTGCCAAGGGGATTGGGAGAGAGTTCTCTAGGGATTACAGTCCTGTGGGCAAGGCTGGAGCAACCAGGAATCATATTTTTTGAGTAGTTAACAGAGGTCACACACACTGAACAAGACAGAGCGAAGACAGGACCCCAAAGAGAAGGAGATGAGGCCCATCTAAAACACAAAGAGGACAAACTTTGGGGAAACAATTGCAGTTCTACAGCTTGCTGTGAGTCCCCACACTCACTGCAGGCACAGCTGGTCAGGGGATTTCACAGGCATCTCTGAACACCATGAGCTCCTCTCCCAACCTGTGAAATGGAACCAAGAGGCGCCGAGACCGACCAGGATTCATAAACTCGGTTTCAGATAAATACAAATAAATGGGCCAAGTTTTCCCTTCTAGATTGTTTTTCCTTTCAAAGAGCCCTGCTGGCAGCACGGGGGCTGGACACAGCCACAGCCTCTGCAGCTGCCATGTAGATGTGGGCCCTGCACAGCAGGGATGTACTCAGCTCATTACTTCCAGGAATCAGCTACAACGCTGTGATCCAAGAAGTGACATCACCCTCAATCACAATACAGACTGAACTGCAGAGTAATAGCTCTTCTCCTGCCTGTAAACAGGGTAAAAAAATAGCAAGTCAACACTGCAGCCCTGCCTTGACTTCAGAATGGTTTAGGCTTCTCTTAAATTCTACATCCTTCTCCACCTCACTGCTGCTTCATGGACAGCTACACTTCTGTAGCTCCTCCTGAAGAACAAAGTAAAGCCAGCTAGGTCAACAGAGATGTCATAATTCAGCCAAAACACTGAAAACAATTGTGAGACACTTCAGCTGGGCAGGCTTTGTGCAGAGCAGCCCCTTACCGAGCAGGGTGAAGGCGTGCCTGGTCTTCTCAAAGTCATCAGCATCGTCCACACCATCGATGGACGTGTCACCTCCCTGAGAAGTGTAGAAAAAGTCTTCGGCACATGCTAGGAGACAAGAAAGAAAAAAACATCAGCAAGCAGTCCTCCCCCTCTGCAGCCACTCCCCAGAAGGTGGACTGGGATGCTCCCTGTCCCCTACCCCTGAAGGGCACCTGTGCCCTTTGAACCAGTTTGCTCAGGAAATTGAGTTTTTGCCACTTGGTGAGTGGCTGTAGCTGCTTCTTGCAGGGAGGAAACCTCTTCTCCATGCACAGCAAGCTCAGTCAGGGCAGCACTGAGATGTATTTGGGATTCTAGCAACAGCTCCATCACATGGGAGAAGACCATTTCAAATACTGAGGTGACTACTTTCAGTAATTCCTCATCCTGTTTTACACATCCGTGACTGATTCAGGTATTTTAACACCTTTTCTACACAAAGCCTTAATCCTTGGGAGCAAAGGGAATGGAGAATGGCTCACGGTGCCTGAATTACACCACTTGAACATCTGTGCTTTAGCAAAGTTACTCCAGGATGACACCAACAAATCCTGTGGAGGCTGAGAGGCATTTCCAATGCAAATAAAACAAGAAGAGATTGCAGGATTTGTGTCCACTTAAGAAAGCTGCACATGTAATCCCCCTCCTTAAAACAAGGCTCCCCATGAGGCCCAGAGCAGTAAGATGTGTGCACAAGGCTTCTGGCTGAGCCCTGGCAGAGCCAGAGCTCGTCCCCAGAGCAGCCTCTCCTCCTCACCCAGAATCAGTTCTCAGCACCAGCCTCAGCCTCATTTGAACTGAGTAGGAGTCATTTGCCAAAACCCACTCATTAACACACACAAATATATTCCCCAAGCATCATGAATATAGAGAAAAAGCCTACTGTGCTCCATGCCAGCCTAGTGGTAACCTTTAAAATCACTACAATATGCACTTTTCTTGACTCAAATTGCTACCAGAAGCTCCCCATCCCTTCCCAAGCCTCCCACAGGCTTCTGCATTAGCTGTACTTTCAGGCTCTAAAGAGAAACATTTAATGCTTTTTGGCATACAAAGCCCTGAGACCCAGAGATTTAGGTAATTCTACTGATTGCCAAAGCACCAGGAACAAGGGGCAGAAAATGTTGATTGGGGTCAGGCAGACAAGGTCTCTGCTGGTCCCCCAGCACAACAGGAGCACATCCCACTCACAGCTTGATGCTGCTGCACATCGTCCTGCAAGATGCAGCCAGGGCTGGTGCTGGCCGATGGGACCAGGATATCAGCTCTCGATTTTAAACATTCACACTGGGATCTGTTTCTGCCTCAAGTCATTCCTGGCGTAACTGACTCCAATCCCTGCATTTTGAGATCTCTAATTATTTTAACAACCATGCAAGCCCTTTGATTCATTGCAAACAAATAAAGCACGTTCCCGACTTGCACCACTGCCCAGGCATCATTAAGCTAGACACCACACTTCAAAAGGCACTTGCATTGCACATCACCATTTAAAGTCAAATATTTACTTTCTAGTTTAAAATTAAGCCTTTAGGATCACTCTGACTGAAGTCAACACTGGTTTGCTCTGCTGTGCTCATGCATGTTTAGAGACTTTGTTTTCCAGCATCTTGCAACATAAAAGGAAGTAATAACTATTCTTCGTATGTGCAAGACCCAAAGGAGAAGCAATAGCTCCTGTTTTACAGATGGAAAAATATACATCCTCCTCCATGAGTAATAAAAAGTGTATTTTCACATAAGACACCTCTTGTTTTGTATAAGCCTTGGGAAGACAAGATTGACAGGTAAGTACAGCTCACACGAGGAAATAAATCTGAGTTCTGACTAGTCACCTTCAAGCAGGCCAGTAAATCCAAGGCAAAGCTGGAAATTAAAAACATCACTCAAAAGAAAGAAGAACAAGTGGATTGTGCACCTCTGCACTCTCAGCCCACTGCCCAGCACCAGCAATCCCAGGGGCCAAGGCTGAGCCGGTGTCACACCGACAGGAGCAGCTCACGGACCCACATCCCCGTCCCCACACAGCCTGTCAGCAGCCCCACATCTGACAGCCCCCAAAACACTCCGGGGAGGCATTTTGCAGCTACTGCAAGGTGAGAGGGCAGGAAACACCAAGGACACACACCTTCACCTTTGGAAGGAACTGCTTCTTTTCCAGTACCCATTGGACATGGGTGCATGCTGTGACACAGAAAATGCAAAGCGCCACAGAGAGCAGCTGGAGACTGACAGGCTCTGACAACAAATTTTGATTAGAAATGACCCAAAGAAGGCTTCCTTGCAGGCTAGTGGCCCTGGCACCCACTCCTCCTGCACTGCCAGCTGTTGCCATTACACATTCATCCCTGAGATGCTGAAGTTGAGAGCCACAGTCACAACAGCACAAACATGTCCTGGGTGATGCGCCAGCACAGCAAAGGCCTCTCAGCCTCCACTCCCACCAGTCACCACAAACACAGATGATGCTTTTAGAGAGCTGTGATGAGTAAGACTGGTATTTCCCTTGATCCACATGTTCCCAAGAAGAGAGCGGTGGTTTCACAGCTGGAGCTCTCACACGTCAACTCATCTCCCAGATGGAGCTGAAATAAGTTGTGTCTGAATTTTAAGATGCCAGCAGACATCATCGTTACCCAGGGTACGTTTTTAAAAATGAAGCACATCAGCATGGCATAAACTCTTGAAAATGGTCCACGTGATGTGCTCTGTGTGGGCAGCGTGCCTACAGCGACCCAAAAGGTCATTCAGACAAGCTCAGAATTACCCAGAAACCAAAAGCCCCTCTCTTCATCTGCCATCCCATCGCAGTGTGGATGGCAACCTCTGCAAGACCCTGTGCTGGGATCAGAACCTGCCTTGCTCACTATCCAAAGTAGGTAAAAAGCCTGGTTTAAACCCTGCTTCTCTCTCTAAGCAACAGCAAATATTCAAGATAAAATAACAATTAAAATTCATCCCTGCACCACCTGCTGCAAGTGCAAATCCTCTGAATTAGGTGTTCTACAGAGGTTTAGCTGCAAATCCCAGCAGGAAAACCCAACCCATTCCAGGAGCTAGCCATTTTAAAAAAAAAATAAAAAAAGCTATTTTAAAAAAAAAGAAGCATAATGAATTCAAAGGACACAACCACTCCTGCCAAAACACTGTCCAGATCAGCCCACGCTCACATTCAATTTAAAATACACACCTCATGCAAGGTTGGTACAATATTAACACATGATCTCCCTGCATCAGCTGGCATATACCACAGCAATGTAGTTTCACTGCAGCCCTGCTGCCGATTTTTTACAAAACTACGGAATCACAAAATGGTTTGGGTCGGAAGGGACCTTGAAGGGACACCTTCCACTACCCTGGGTTGCTTCAAGCCCCAGGCACTGCAGGGATCCAGGGGCAGCCAGAGGTGCTCTGGGTACCCTGTGCCAGGGCCTGCCCACCCTCACCAAGTTGCCACATCCCTGGTGATGGGGTGAGCCAGCCTGTGCTCCACCCAGCAGCAGAATCCCTCCAACCTCATCTCCCTCCCCTTCTCCCACTGCCCAGGCACACCAGTGCCTCACCAGTGACCCACATTTCTGACCCCACCACTTCTCCTGTGCCCCAGGCAGCAGCCAGCAGAGCACAGGGATGTGCCAGCACTTACTGAGTCCAAGGTCTTTGAATTCTGGAAGGCTTGAGGAGGCACAGAGCTGATAGAAGATGTGGTAGTTGCGCTCGTCCTCTGCCTGTGGGGAAACGCTGAGTTACCAGAGGCACGGAGAGGCCACAGCAGTGTTCCCACCTCACACAGGTGCCCCCTGAGCCCAGGGCCACCCTGCTCCCACCCCTGCTTCCCACCATCGAGACCCCACCAGTGAAACCAGCACAAGGATGCTTTCCTTGCCACCTGGGAGGAAGGAGGTGCCCAGCCTGACCAACACACGTTGCCCATCTGGCAAAGAAAGTAAATAATTCTGTATTACCTTCCACATCTTATCCCCCTCTGCAATAACCAGGCTAAATGAAGCACCAAGCACTGACTTGCAAACACACAGTAATATAAATGAAGGTGGTTTCCTTTCTGTGGCTTCTCAAAGTTGCCCGTTTTTTAAGATTTTTTTGTATTTGGGGTACTCTTCTTTTGTGCAAGGACAAAATTTTTGCAGCAGTTTCTGATCTACATCCCAAGCAGAAACCAAGAAAGCCTCTCCTGAGCTTGCTCAGGAAACCCAAGGGATGTGCTGTGGCAGAGACATCAGCCTTCCCAGCCCCTCTCCTGCCCTTTCTTCGTGCTCAAAACTGAATGCTGTTGCCCGCAAGTTGTTCTCCCTGGCTCTCTATCTAACAAATCTCCCAGGTACACCTTAGCCCAGGACAAGGGTCATCAGGCTGAAACCAAAAAGAACTCCAAGACTGAGTCCCAAAGACACATCTGGAAGCTGTGTGCACTGAGACAGCAACAAGAAAAGAGGGAACAGCCTCAAGATGTCCCAGGGGACATCTAAACCTTTAGGCTGGATATTAGGAACAATTCCTCCATGGAAAGGGCTGTCCAGCCCTGGCCCAGCTGCCCAGGGCAGTGGTGGAGTCCCCAGCACTGGAGGGGTTTGAAAGCTGTGTGAATGTGGCACTTGGGGACACGATCACAGGGAAAGGAGGAGAGGGACTTTGTACAAGGGCATGGAGGGACAGGACAAGGAGCAATGGCTTCCTATTGACAGAAAGAGTAGATTTAGGTTAGATATTGGGAAGGAATTGCTGGCTGGGAGGGTGGGCAGGCCCTGGCACAGGGTGCCCAGAGCAGCTGGGGCTGCCCCTGCATCCCTGCAGTGTCCAAGGCCAGGCTGGACAGGGCTTGGAGCATAATGGGTATGGCAGTGGTGGGGGGACAGTTGGATTTGATGGTCTTAAAGGTCACTTCCAACCTAAACAATTCTGTGGTTCTACTTGTAAACAGATTTTTTTTATTATTTTTTTTTTTAAATCCAAAGATCCAGACCATTGAACTCCTGGAATACAGCATCCAAAAAAAAAAAAAAAAAGGAAAAAAAGCCCCACAACTCCTCACCTGAAACACAACCCGAGATTTTTCCAGCAGATACGTCCTCATGTTGGCACCAATGATGTGGTACCTTTTATCAAAGCCAATCTGAATGTATTTCCCAAAGCGGCTGCTGTTGTCATTCCTTGTTGTTTTAGCATTTCCAATGGCCTGCAGAAAACAAACAAAATTAAACATAAATTTTTAATTGAGTTTTTTAATTTTTTTAAACACTTCAATTTGCAATCAGTGTTACATAAACAGTCGCTGGAAGATTTGAGGAAAACCCCTTCCCAGATGCAGGATGCAGAGGAACAGTGTGACTTTGGGGAGGACTCTTCACTGAAAATGCAGTGCCTCCAGGGTTTTTATGGAAGAAAAATGCATACAAGTATTTGTACAGGAATTAAATCATCGACATCCACAAAATCCTCAACATTCATGTCCCACCTTACATGATGCCCCCACCTCTGCTCAGAGTCACCACCAGCAGCTCCCCTGGACAGGTCTTCTTCCTCCACAAGCCCATTTAACTCAGGTTTTTCTGCAAACCAGGCAGTTTTCTTTTATGTTTTTTTCTGCATAGGCAATGTTCTCATCAATTTCCAATAAAGACAGGCAGGTTGCCTGGCCTCAGCACTTAGAAATTACAGCCAGAACTGAACACAGGCAGGGAAATTAGAGCAATAAAATTCTGGGGTCATACAGAAGAATAGTGTGCACAATCAATTTCTTTTCTTGGATGGTTTTAAGTGCCCCCTGTTATCACAGCTGCATTTCACAGAGGCAAGGGAGATGGGTGAGGAAAGGAGTAAACTAGCAGGTTTGCCAGGAGTAAACCCCCAGAAAACCAGCCAGTTTTCCCCACACAGCTGCTGGCTTTTCTTACTGCTCCTCACCTGCACCACCACTGGTTTGGACACTGCAGCAGGGTGTCCCACTCTGGACCAGCCACCCCCTCCCTGTCCATCAGACAATTTGGCACGAGGCACTGTGATGGGAAACCTCCCTGGAGGCTGAGCCAAGCCTAAGGTTAAGCACAGGACAACACCACTAAAGCAGCACTGCTGGGCTCCCGCCTTGGAAAGAAAGTCAGCTGAGGCTGAAGTGCTCCACTGACTTTGGAAAAGCCCAGATCAACTGAAGGCACTTCATGAACCCAAAATCTGTTTGGAAATTGGGGTTTAGACACTTATTCAGAATTTGATGTTCAGACATTTATTTTCAGTGTCTGGCTTCAGTGAAAGGAAACAAAGCTGTTTTTCCCCTTTCTTTTGTATTTAGAAGAAGAATTATTTTCCTTCAGGGCAAGGATTTCTCTGTAATGAGACTTGTTATTCACCCATCACTAACAAATCAGGTCAGAAAATCCCTCCCAGCCCATCGAGCTCAACTTGTGCCTGATGCCCATCTTGTCACCCAGCCCAGAGCACTGAGTGCCATATCCAGGTGGTCCCCGGACACCTCCAGGGATGGGCACTCCAAACCTCCCTGGACAGCCCCTTCCAAGGCCTGACCATCCTTTCCATGGGGAAATCCCTTCTAATGTCCAGCCTAAACCTCCCCTGACACAGCTTAAGACTATGTCCTTTTGTCCTATTGCTGTTGCCTAGGGGAAGAGGCTGATAGGTGACTGATACCCACAGAAAACTAACAACAATAAAAATGAATTTGAATATCTCAAATCGATTAGTCTCTTCTTTTTTTTTCTATTCCATATTTGTACAACAAAAGAAGGAGATTGGGGGGCACCATGCAGTGACAAAGGAGGAAGAGGATAATAAAACACTAACAGAGGTTATTATTATTTCTGGTTAAAACATCTGCACTCCTTGGGCTCTCCACTCTGGAGCCCCATCAAAGCCCAGCTCCTGGAGATGTGCTGGGGATACTCAGGCTCAGCTTTAACACCATCAAATGCAGGTCTAAATGGAGGCTGTTGGTGAATTTCTGCATCTCAGTCCAGCTCCAGGGCGCTGTTACGCTGTAAATCAGACCTGTCTCGCAAACCTCAGGGGTTCTCACTGTACTTGTGACTTATGGAGAGGCAAAGTGATCAGTGCAAGCAGGACAAAGGAAAGGGAGCAGCTTTTACCTCCATGATGGGGCTGGAGGCCAGGACTTTGGCTTCAATGTTGGTCTCGCTGGCGGAGCCCCCGACGGTGGCGAAGAAGCGCATGGCGTATTTGGCGGAGACCGTCTTGCCCGCCCCTGACTCCCCGCTCACGATGATGGACTGGTTCTTCTCATCCCTGGCGAGCCAGAGCAGCAAAGTTAATAAAACCTAAACTTCTCTAAGCTAATCCGTTTTCCTGTCAGCTGTTTGCACCCTCTTCCCGTGTCGCTGGTCCCCCACCCTGCTGCCACCGGCGTTACGAACACGGGATTTCTTCTGGACTAGGAAAGTAACAGTGAATAATAACACACAACCATGACACTTCCCAGAGGAGACATGAAGGACACTCAACATCTCCAGAACATCTCCAGAGGACTGCAGAGACAGTGAGCTCTGAGCCTTGCATGAAGCCTCGCTGCCTCCTTCATCCTGAGACTCTGGGAAGCCCATTTCTTACCAACAGCAACACCCAACCTCTGCTGCTGGACATTTGTCTGGACAACTATTAAAGGCACTGGCTGAGTATCAGCTCCTAATACTGTGTATTTCATTTCCTCCCCCAGCTCCTTCACCCAAGCATTTGAGATTTTGTTCATTAAAACACGGTCGACTCGTGACACTTGCTTTTAGAAGATTCCTCTACACTCAAAACATGTTAAAAACATTGGAATTGTAAAATCAAGCATCCTAAAACTGTGAGACTGTGAGAAGAAACCACTTGGTTCTCTACGCAATTGTAGGAGTATCAGTATTTTCACACAACTCCCAATATCTGGTTAGAACTTAGACAACAACAACACAAAGCAGGTCTGACATCAGACTCCTCACACCAGCAACTCATCCCTAAATCCTGTGACTGATCTGAAATGCAGAGGTACTTCACCAGGTGCTTCTGAGGCACAGGACTTTGCATGGAGAAGCTGAGGGAGCACCATCTTATGCAGCTCTTGAGCCTTGCACAGAGCATGAACGCTTCCAAATGCCTTTTTCCAGTTGCTAAATTAATCATTCACACAACACCCGTTGCACAAGTCACCATGAAATAGCTGGTCCTTCCCAGCATGGTACCCACCAGATACAACCCAATAATTAATCTCTTTAGCATGCTTGAGCTGCAAGGCAAAGAAAGGGCCAAGGCAGTAAGAGGAGCTCCAAATTGAACTACATTTTCAATTTAGAACAATCCCAAAGATTTGCTGGCTCCAGGGCCAGGCGCCTCTGCTGCAGTGGGATTCACTCCCCAGGGCATCATCAGCACACAGCAAACCCAGCACCTCTGCAATTTGGCTGCAGACTTTGGGAAGGGCAGAGTTTTCACTGCAGGATTTACTATAAGCTCCCAATATACCCAAGCTCTTGGGTAAGCTGTAAGGACGTAATTGAGTGTGTTTTTAAGTAAGATCAGCTTAAGTTTCCCAGACTCTGCCCTGGCTTTCATGAATCACAGCTGAAAGCAGGCACAGAAAATCCCATACACAAGAACAACAATAAATTTATACCTTCCAGTTCTCTTGACATCAGGAAACAGCATCAAAGCACATTTCAATTTAAGATATTCAGTTCAAGTTTATACCAGATGAGGACAGAGGCTAAATGATTGTCATACACCACTTTTTCACTTCCAACAGACACACCACACCATTACTTCACTGTCAAGCACAGACATCTTAATTCCTTCTAGGCTCAAGGTAATTGGTTTGAGAAAAAAAAAACCCTCAGCCAAGTCACATGTAACGTTTTGGTGTAAACCATGACTTTGAGAAGCTTTCAGCAGCAGCAGACTGACAAGATAATTTCCAGCTCCATTTTCCAGACACCAGTTCACAAAGTGTATCTTAATCTATCCCCCAGCCAGCTAGTTCTCCTGGGTACCAACCAACAGAAAGGGAAGAGGAGCCTCCAACACCCCAGCAACCCGGCAGCAGTGCAGAAACACGGGCTGTGAGTGGAGCACGCCCTCGGCCAGGCAGCAGCATCCCAGAGCCCCTGCTCCCAGTGACTCATCCCGGGTGGGGACAGCCTGCTCTTGCTAAGTCACAGCGTGGTGCCCTCAGCAGGCCTTGGCAAAGCCACCCAGGCTCTCCCACAGCCAGCTGGCAGCATCCAGGCACAGGGCTGCCAATGTGCAGTCTCACACCTTCGGACTTCCACAGGTGTGCAACAAACCTCTCCTGGCAGCACGAGCCACCAGGCATGGGCAGCCAGCAGGGGAAAAACAGTGCCAGCTCCACAGAGGGGAAGGGAAACTTAGACCCAGCCCCAGAAGGGAGCAGGAGGAACCCACAGCAGCAGTTCCTGGTAGCAGTTTATTTCTGACTGAACTCTCATTGAAACTCCCCACCATGCTTTGACCATCCTCAGTGAGGTGGGTTGCAAGTCCCTCCTTCCAGGGAAGAAGTGAAAGGAGGAGAGGAAATGGCCTCAAGCTCTGCTAGGGAAGGCTTAGATTGGATATCTGGAAAAATTTCTTCCAGGTGAAAGGCCCAGCACATGCTACTGGGAAGTGATGGAGTCCCCATGCCTGGAAGTGTTCAAACAAAGTGTGGACGTGGCACTTGAGGACACGGTGATGGTGAACATGCTGGTGGTGCTGGCTGACATCTGGACTTGGTCTTAGATCCTTAGTGGATCCACAGTTCAGTGACCCGTGGACAACCTCCTGCTCCATCAGTGAAATCCCACACTGGCCATCAGCAGGATCCAACAGACAAAATTCCTGTCAGCTGCCAAGAAAGGGGCAGAGGCTTTGGCATGGGCTGCAAGGGTGGATGAACAGGCTGTCCTTGCTCAGAGGTGAGGGAGAAGCAGAAGGGAGAGGTGACCACCAAAATCCCTGCAAAAGGAGTTTGCAAATGCAAAGCTGGCATGGCTTAGAGCTACACTTGCCTAAAAGTTACCTCAGAATTATTGTTTCCCACCCTACTCTTCATGAAAGGTATGGCCCAAGTGGCTCATTTTAGATAACATTTCCCTGACACTTCTCTCTTAAAGCCGTATGACAAAAGCTCCACCACTCTGGGGGTGAGTCTTCAGCTAAATGATGCTAAAATCTCCAAGATGCATTACTTGGCACCCAGACAATGCCGCTGCAAGGTAGTAGTTGGTAGCCCATTTTTCTTCTATTTAAGAGTCACAATTTTGAGTTCTTGTTACCAGTTCTAACCTCCTTCATAACTTCTCTATTACCAGCTACTGGGGTGGGCCAGACTGGGGAAGGCAGAGACCAGCCCAGACCCACAGATCCCCTGGGCTTCAGATCCCATCACCAAAATGCCTTTAAGTGGCATTCTGAGTGCTTTATCCCTCCCCTCTGGCTTGTCACTTTTTAAACAGACGTTTGCCAAAAGACACTGAGCCTAGTGACAAAACTATGGCCAACACAATTTACTACTGCTGCAGCCACTCTGCCAGGTCCCATTTTTCCAGAGTTTGAATTCTCAAGAAATTTGCCCTAATGGCTGATGTGCTGTAATATGAAATGGGCCAGGTGAGCTCTCTGTGGCACAAAAAAACTTTTGGATTATATCAATAATATGAAATGAAAAGAAAGTTGCTCTTAGCAGGCCACTCAACCTCCTGCAATTGCAGTAATATGTCTCTTCCAGGGTTTTTTTTTTTTGTGGATAATGCATGTTCAGACATACATTTTCCAACCTCAGGAATAAAAGCCTTCAGGAATAAAGGCTGCAGAGCCTTTCCCTTCTTCATTGTACAAGTTAACCAACTGCTGGTGCCAGCAGGGGAAGATCGATGAGCTTTGTGTAGCAGCTGGCAGCAAACAGGATGCTCAGGCGGCAGAAATGGTTAAAGCCAGGCAGGAGATGTTTGTGTTCAGTGTGGAATGAAAAACACTGAAATGTTTGGCCACCATGGAGGCACAGTGTGCAACACGGCTGCTTAAAGTACATTCCATTTTGGCAGTGCCAGCACAGGAGAAAACTATTATTGAAAAGAGCCTGGATAAAGTGAAGTGTTTACGGGTGAAACCTGCCTCTACTGCAGCACGGCAGTGCTGCCCCATCTCCTCCTGGGGCTGGGGGGGCTCCTGTGCAGCTCAGGGCTGCCACCACAGCTCCTGTATGCTGCCACAAAGTGCATCAGGGCTCCTCTCTCCCCATGGCACACAGCTCACACGATGCTCAGGCTGGAAAACCAACACCACCAGCTGGGCTACAGCCACTACCCATCAGAGAGGCTAAGAGAGCCATCAAGGAGCAGAAGTCCAACCAGAACAAGATCCAGAATGGTTTCTTCAATGCAAGAGGCAACAGAGGTGCTTTGGAGGGGGGTAACATACCTTTCTGCAGGTATTTGCCATGTTAAGAGTAGTGCCCCTCAAGACCACACACAGTGCTCTCACTGGCTGGGTGCAGTCCCCAGCCCAGCAAAACTAAGAGGGAGTCATTGGTGCTTTTACAACATATGAGAAATGGAATAATTTAATTGCTAGGCTTCAGAAGGACCTTTAAAGGCCATCTAGTAAAGGCCATGAACAAGGACACCTTCCACTACCCCAGTTCGCTCCAAGCCCCGTCCAACTCAGCCTTGGACATTTCCAAGGCTGAGGCAGCTGCTCTGGACAACCTGTAAAAATTCCTTCTTTGTGTATACTCTAAAAGTCTAAGAGATACCATTTTTTAAAGGCAACATCTAAAGGTGCTGCCCAAGGCAAACAAAAGTCAGTTGGCTGTGAAGAGAAAGGGAACTTCAGATTCCTTTGCTGATTAACACTGGCTGCTAATTACCAGCATTCACATCAAGGGAATACATTTCCCTGCCTGTTTAAGCAGTCAGCAGTCAGCCCTTCACACTGCTGCCCTCAGAGGAGCCTCCAAACAGCCTGGGAAAGGTGTGGAGAAGCATCCACACCCCAAGCTGCCCAGCTGGACACAGCTCTCCACTGCATCAGAGCAATCAGAGGTGTGGCACTGCTCCGTCTTTCCACGTGCAGCTCCCATCACTTTATCTAAGCCAGGGAAGAATGCCCCTGAAAAACCTTCACTTCAGAAAAAGCCACTGCAATAAAAAAGGGTTTGAATGCAGGGATGGTTCTCATCACCCCTCTGCCTGAGACACAGGAGACAGGGGACACCTCAGCGCAGATATTTACATCCTCAGCCTTCAGCAACACTGCTT